CCCCCCCCCCCCCCCCCCCCCCCCCCCCCCCCCCCCCCCCCCCCCCCCCCCCCCCCCCGCCCACTCCACCCACCTATTACTCCTGATCGTCGTCACCACTCCATCACTTTGCCGCGCGCTATCTTCTCCATCGCACTCCATCATTACCACTCTACTCTCATCCTATCGCTCCTCCTACTCTCACTCCTCACTCCTCTTCTAGGCTCTTCGTGCTCCGCTTGCTCCGCGTGCTCCTCTCCTCTCCTCCCCTCTACTGGCTCTCCTTGCTCTCCCTCGCATCTATTCATCGCGCACCCCACATCCACATCCTCCCCTTATCATCTATTCAATCCTCCACACTCTTCACTCTACGCTCTACACCACTCTCTTCACATTCTACCCACTCTACTCAATTCTTCTACATTCTCCTACTGCACACACTTCTACTTCACTCTCAAGGATACCAATCTAACACAATCCCAGACCAGACTGTGTCCTCCTCCCTCGTACCGCGCGTCACCCCCCACTTCACGGACATACCCCCCCCCTCCCTCCTTCCTCTCCACCCGCTTGCTCAACATCCATTTAACCCCCAGTTCATCACCTGGGGACACAACAGTCATACCGTCTTCGACCCCACCCCTCCAGTTCGCTGGAGCCTCGCCCACTCGGGTTGCCCACGAACTCGAACCTGACGACCACGGCCACCCCTTCGACCTCGAACTCAAGCCGCCCCCACACATCAACATCCCGCACCTGAGCTCATCCGCATCAACCGAGTCCTCCTTGCCCTCGGCCCGCTCCGTCTCCAGCCTCGTCCCCCTCTCTTCAATCTCAACTTCGTCGGCCCAGTCCACTACCTCCGCCGGTGGTAGAAACCGCGCATCTCGAGTTCCTACGTCCCGCAAACTCGTCGACGACGATTACCGCCTTGCCCTCGAACGTCTTGACCGCGCTCGTCTAGACGATACCATGCTATCCAGCTTTAAACGTGAGTTTGTCCAGCCGCAAGCTCCGGAAGCGCGGATGCGGATGAATCATCATCCTCGGCCCCCCGGCCACTCCACTCCACGATCGCTCACTCCACTACTTTCCCTTGCCTCCTCTTTCCACATTTACTGATAATCCCCCGCCCGGCCCACCTTCACATTGCTGACTGATAATAGAAATCCTGCGCCACGGCAAACAAGCCAACGCTGACAATGCATCAAACCGCAACCAGGCCAGAGATCGCGCCGAGCGTTCCTCGGCACCCGCTGTCGCTACGCACCGCAAGTCGGCACCACCAGCGACCTCGGACGTTCACGCGCCCGCACCCGCCCCCGCAGCCGCTGCTGAGCATCACGAGCATCGCAGGGAACGCAAGGCCGGCGGCGCCAACGACTATCGCGAGGAAGCCGAGCGCATTGTAGCCGAAGAGAAGGCACAAGGTGAACGCATGCCGCGTTACACTGGCCTCGAAGAATATGACCTCATTGAGAAGATGGGCGACGGCGCATTTTCCAACGTCTACAAGGCCGTCGAGCGTCAAACGGGGCGCAAAGTCGCCGTCAAGGTCGTGCGCAAGTACCAGTTGAACCATTCGCAAGTGAGTACTCTGTTCCGGGGGCCTTGTAGCACCACACTACACATAAACGGACACGGACTGACCGAGCCAGAGCGGCAACAAGCACCTTAACCCCAACTTTAAGAAGAGGCCGCGTGTCACAGAGGTCGGTATCCGTGTCCGCTCCTCTCCTTCCTCACGTTGCGCGCGAGCATAGTGGCTGACTCTCCCAGCGCGCCAACATTCTCAAGGAAGTGCAGATCATGCGCGGCATTGACCATCCGGGCATTGTCCGGCTGCTCCAGTTCTTTGAAAGCGACGAGCACTATTTCCTTGTCCTAGAATGTGCGTTGTTACTTGTATGTGACCACTGCTGACGACAGTGATGGAAGGTGGCGAACTGTTCCACCAGATTGTCAAGCTCACATACTTCTCAGAGGCACTTGCGCGCCATGTCATCGTCCAGGTCGCAGAGGGCATTCGTTACCTTCACGAGGAGCGCGGCGTCGTGCACCGTGACATCAAGCCAGAGAACTTGTTGTTTGAGAGAATCCCCATCATCCCGTCAAAGGAGATTGTGCACCGCCCCTATGACGAGGAGAAGGAAGACGAGGGCGAGTTCCGGCCTGGCGTCGGCGGTGGCGGCATCGGTCGCGTCAAGATTGCCGACTTCGGCCTGTCCAAGATTGTGTGGGACGAGCAGACAATGACGCCGTGCGGTACCGTCGGTTACACTGCCCCCGAAATCGTCAAGGATGAGAGGTACAGCAAGTCGGTTGACATGTGGGCTTTGGGATGTGTTTTGTATACGTTGCTGTGTGGATTCCCTCGTGAGTGGACGATTGTCTGCGAAATGTCATGTCCGCTGACGCCAGCCTTCTATGACGAGAGCATCAATGTCCTGACCGAAAAGGTCGCGCGGGGATACTACACATTCCTGTCGCCCTGGTGGGATGACATTTCGCATTCTGCAAAGGATCTTATCACCCACCTCCTCTGCGTCGACCCCGCACAGAGGTACACAATCGACGAGTTCCTCGCACACCCGTGGATCAAGGCTGGCCCAGAGCCCATTGTGCCTTCTCAGAAGCCCAAGCTACCGGCCGGTGCGCCGCTCGACTCACCTCTCCTCGCCTCTTTGCGTGCGGCCAACAGGGAGGGCCGCTCACCGGGCATTGGCGCCCTCAAGGAAGCGTTCGATGTTACGTACGCCGTGCACCGTATGGAGGAGGAAGGCGCACGGAGGCGTGCATACAATGGACCTGGCGGCGCGGGTACGCGTGGCTTCCTGCAAGGCCTGAATGAGGAGGACGAGGACGGCGACGAGCAGGTCCAGCTCGAGGAGGCGCGGCGGAAGCACGGCGAGCTTGTTGCGCGCGAGATTGAGAAACAGCGCGCACGCGCAGCCGCCAACGCCGCGGCAGGCATCAAGGAGCCGACGGTCACGCACTACGTGGGCCGAGGTGGCGCGAACCGCCGCGAGGCCGAGGCGGCGCTCTATGATGGGCGGGCAGGGCAGCGCGACCGCGCGTCGCAGCGCAAGGCGGGCACGCAGTTCGAGCTCAACCTCGGCAACGCGACGCTGCTGGGACGCCGGAACAAGGCGCATGGCGGATTGAATGGCATGACGATGCCACAGGCCGTCGTGGGGCAGTAGCTAGCCATGTCACATTGTAGTCCAACCAAGTCTAACCATCTAGCCTGCACTCGAGCTACCTCCAGCGGAAGTGTCTATTTGTAGCGGAGGAATGACCCATGTATCAATGCTCGCGCGTTTGCGAGGAGTGCTGAGCTGCCACTGCCACTGCCACATTCACGATGATAGTGCCACGCGACTACAGTAGAAGCAGCTTCATCAGGGACAATTCTCGGAGATCACCACGCCTGGCACCGGCGACCTGCGCTTTTGGGCCGGAAGGCCCTTCGTTGCCCACCGGCTAGCCGCGTGCCGGCGGCTCTTAATGCGCTCAGTTTCCATACATCTCGCGACTTTGCTTTCCATTCTCCAACTCCCCCCCACGTCTCGCACAATGAAGGCCGTCCAGATCTCCAAATTCGCCCACCCCCGCGACATCCCCGTCAGCGAGGTGCCCAAGCCTGTGCCGAAGGCCGGCGAGGTGCTCGTTGAGATTAGCGCGACGGGTCTCAACTTCTTCGAGTAAGTGTGCTTGGTCGGAGCAAGGGAGCGGTGTAGCGCTGCGAGCGCTGCGAGCGGGCGAGAGCGAGGAAGTGCACGTCTTTCAGCGGCGGTGAGACGGATGCAGCGGCACCGAGCTAGAGGGTGCCCCCGTCCTCCTCCCTGCTGCCTCCCGCTTGCTCTCGCTTAAGCTGGCTCCGCTCCGCCCACGCCCACTGGCGCTCTGCGCCTCGCGCCTCGCGCCGTCGCTCACACCCAGCATCCTCCAGTCGCAGGGCAAGTACCAGAACCAGCCGCCGATGCCGTTCATCCTCGGCGCCGAGTTTGCTGGCCGCGTGGCCAAGGACTCGCCGATTCCCGCCGGATGCCCGTTCAAGGCTGGCGACCGCGTCTTCGGCTACGCGCAGGGCTCGCACGCCGAATACGTTGCCGTTGACCACGAGAAGCTCCTCGCCGTCCCCCCCAACATTACTCTCGCGCAGGCTGCTGGATTGTACCTGTGAGTGTTTAGCGTAAGGCTTGCGGCGAGAGCGGTAGGAGGAATCGGAGGAGACGGAGCCGTTAGAGGCCGAGACCGGAGCAGAGATGGGGATCTCATGCCTGTACGGCGGAGGTCGAGAGGGGGAAAGGACGGAGGTTCGGACGCCGCACAACTCTAGTCGCCCGCTCACCGCCCCAGCGTCCCCCCAACCCCGCTGACTCCAGTACTTACCCTACGTCGTACGAGGGCCTCGTGGGCCGCGCGAACACGCAGCCCGGCGAGTGGGTGCTCGTGCACGCTGCCGCGGGCGGCGTGGGCCTCGCGGCGTGCCAGATCGCCAAGGGTGAGTGACCCCCAATAGCGTACTCACGCAGTCCTCGGCGCCAAGGTGATTGCGTGCGTCGGCTCGCCCGCCAAGGGCAAGGTCGCGACGGAGCAGGGCGGCGCCGACTACGTCGTCGACTACACCAAGGCCGGGTGGCAGGACGAGGTGAAGAAGATCACGAACGGGCACGGCGTCGACGTCGTCTACGACCCCGTCGGCATGCTCATCCCCTCGCTCAAGTGCATTGCGTGGAACGGGCGTCTCGTCGTCGTCGGCTTCGTCGCCGGCACGATTGAGAAGGTGCCCGCCAACCTCGTGCTGCTCAAGAACTGCAGCATCGTCGGCCTCTTCTGGGGCGCGACGGCCAGTGAGTCGCGCGCCGCTGACTCTGCAACTCGCTCACACCAGTCCGCGACCCGCCCCGCTACAAGCACGTCATCAAGGAGACGCTGCGCATGGTCGCAGAGGGCAAGCTTACCCCCACCGTGTTCGAGCCCGTGTACGAGGGCCTCGAGGGCGTCACCAAGGGTCTGCTCGACCTCGAGGGCCGCAAGACCTACGGCAAGGTCGTTGTCAGCGTCCGTAAGGATGCCAAGCTTTAAGCTTGACGTGTTGTTCGAGCAGCTCGAGTCATAGAGGGATGTATGCTGTCTGAAGGGAGGACGTGGGTGGTGCGGGAGGTGGGGTCGGTGGGCGTGGTCGTGCACGTCCAACTACTGTGAAATCACCACATACTCTGTCGATAATCTTTTCCTCTAGCGAGTCTCTTCGGTGTGCTTTTCCGTTGTTGTGAGCGGGGTTTGAGAAGATCTCAGTCCGATTAGTGCTCCTGGCGTGCTGGAGCGGCTGAGCAATCACCAACTTCGGCTTTCGCGTCGCGCATCGCACGCAGCATAGCTCTAGATCCACCGACCGTCACCCACTCTCGCACCCTGCCCGTCTCCGACCTAAGCAGCTGTGCTCACATGCCGTTGTACAATGCAATCTAGATCACTCCGCTCCTCTACTCGTCGCGCTGCTCGCGCTCGCGCTGCCCTAGGGCGCGCTTCCTACCGTCAGCTCCACTGCGAAAGCAAACTCACAAAATGGCGGGAGTCACAACCTCGCCCTCGCCGGTCGTGGACCACATCTCGCGCGGCCAGTAGTCTTGCAGGAAGAGATACGTGTGTCCGGCGAGTATGCCGAGCTGGTGTCAGCGGAGATGCCCATCCGTGCCAATATTGAACTCACAATGTCGCCGAGCGCGGCGTCGAAGCCGCCCTGGAGGAGCCAGCTGAACGCGACGAGGCAGAAGGGGAGGTACGGCGCTGTGATACTGCCGTCAGATGGAAACATGGGTGAGGCATATGAACCCACGTTACGACCCCGAAGAGGCTCATCTTGACGCTGGGGTTGCGGCGCGACCAGATGTACACGAGCGCGAAGGCGAGGGAGGAGGAGAGGAAGGGCATGGTGATGAGCGGTGAGAGGGCCTGGGGTGAGTGGGACGTGAGCAGAAGGCCACAGCCACTCACGAGCAGGAACGCCATGACGAGGATCAGGAGCCAGACGTAGTCTGCGCGGCGGTTTGAGAACGAGTTCTCCTCCAGGAGGCGGGAATATCGCATCCTGGTGTGAGCTCGGCGAGTGCAGAGCGCGGCAACCGGATTGACAGAAAGGAGGCAGCCAGAAGAAGCATACCTCGACCATCAACGGCACGACCAAACTTACACGAAGAACAAGTGGAAGCACAGGTCTAGCGACACCTTGCCAAAGTAGCAGAACGTCGTCAGGAAGCGCCATGGCTGCGCCTTGGCGACGGCACTCGTCCAGCTGAAGTAGAGCTGTAGTGGTGCGACGACTTGGCACTCCTGCAGTGAGAGTCAATGAACAGAAAAGAGCAGCGGTGGGAACAACAAGAGAGGCAAGGCAGACGAGTTGGCGCAGGGTGTCCGATGAAGCGCGAGGTAGAGGAGGCCAGAGAACAGCGTCAGCTCAAGTCATGACGAGCAGAAGCCACTCACAACCAACAAGCTCGTCGCGGCAGACGCGACAAGCCACGCGCGCGTAACAGGCGGTATAGCAGTGAACCACTGTTCGAGGTCCATCGAGTTCAATACGGTCAGAGCAATGGCGAGATGTCACCGACTGCCTCCACCCACCGCATCATCCCCGTGCGTCACGTGACGTTGCCACCCAATGGACACTAATGCACTTGGCGGGCGTCGCGATCTAGCTGCGTCAACAACACTATGAGCTTGAGCACCCCGCCGCCCGAGTGGCAGAACGTGATCCGCGCGCGCCTCATGGCTGCGCAGGCGGCGCGCGACCCGCTCAAAGACATCATCGAGCAGTGTGGGTCCTGTCGTGGCGCGGCTGACGGCAGACCAGCAGCTCGCGGCCGCCGCGCGCGAACTCAAGGTCCGTAATCGCGCGCTGTTGCGATCAGGCGGCGGCGGCGGCGGGGATGTGTGAGTGGATTACGCGAAGGCATCGGTAGGGGAGGGGGAGGGGGCTGGCAGGAGGGCGGACTGACGACCGGCGATACCTGCGCTCGGGCCCATGCCCGCTGGCAACGCCACGCCCGCTGCGACTTGCGTCGGCCTTCACTCGTAGCGCTGACGCCAGGCCCGCGCCGCTCGTATCGCATCTCGACGCGCAACTCAACACCCTCCGCGCAGAAATCTCGGGCTTGTATCGCACGCAAGCCGCGGCGCAGAACAAACAGCTCGCGTTGAGCGACGCGCTGCGCGATCGCGACGAAGAGGTGCGCGGGCTGCGCGAAGAAGTGCGGCAGCTGCGCGAGACGCGCGACACCATGGCCCGCCGCGAGCAGAACACGAACGAGCGATTGCGGGTCAAGGACGACGATGCCAAGGTGGGTGGAGAGGTGGAGGGACCAAGGGAGGGCTGGCGCGGCAACGTGCTGCTCGCGCTGGCCACGCTCCGCGCTTCGCTCGTGGCTTGCTCGCTAACCCCAGGTTCTGCATGACGAGATACTCGCCCTCCAGATCGAAATCAGCGGGCTGACACAACGCAACACCGCGCTGCAGGCCGATAACGCGTCGCTCCTCCAGCGCTGGCTCGACAAGATGAACATGACGGTCGACGAAATGAACGCCGAGTTCGAAGCCGAGGCGGGCGCTGGCGCAAGCAAGGACGAAGGGGATTTTCGGGGCGGCGGGAAGGCGTGAGCGCGTCTTCCCGCGGACTCGGAGCTGGGCTAGCTGGACCCGAGGTGCGAGTGGAACTGGCGGACAAGGGAGATGCAGAGACAGGGACGAGCACGAGGGCGCACTCGGCCGACTGGGAGGTTGTAGAGTCCAGCAGCGCGCTCGACGACGACGACTGGGCCGAGGCGCGCGCCAGTGTTGTATAGTATGCAGCGGGTGCAGTACATGAGACATGGCCAGAGTCCATCGAGCTAGATAATACAACAGATTAGGATACAAAACGTAGAGAGGGGGGGGGGGGGGGAGATGGTCGCATGCGCTTCGCTGCTCGGTCGTCAGACCGTGGCGGGTCGACACGCCACGAGGGCATGTTGCTCGGCACAGACGGGACGCTCGGTCCTGGTCCTACAGGGGGCGCCGTGCTCGGCCCTGCGCCGCCCATTCCACCGCTCAACGCCCAAATGAGGTCCTCGTCAGGCGGCGTCGATACGCCGTACGTTCCGTTCCCTGCGTCCGTGGTAGTAGGCCATACAAACTCCTGCGAGTTGGACGAACTGCTGCCCGTCCCGCTGCTACCGCCCCCACCGACACCTGCACCGAGCATGTCTCGAACGAAAGCGTGCCCGCCGCTTCGGCTCGTGAGTTCAAACAGCTGATGCTGCTGTTTCTCAAGCAGCACCCGCTTCTGCTCCTGATGTGCCTGCTGAATCTGCAGCCACGCGTAGGTGGTCAGCATCGAGCTGTCCCAGCCGCCGTTGCCGCCGTTGATCGATGGGCTGGGCATGAACGCGGGCCCATTCATCGGCATGAAGGGCTGCGGGCGGTACTGCTGCCATGCGGGCGCGGTGGGCTGGGGCGGCGGCGCCTGGTGCAGGCCCATGGCATAGCTTAGCGACGCAGTAGTGGGCGACTCTGGGCGCTCGGGCGCCTCCTCGACGAGCGAGCCGACAAAGCTTCCTTCCGTCTCGCGATAACTGCGGCGGCGGCGCTCACGCTCACGGTCCGGCGCACGGCGGCGTGCCTTGTAGCTTTCCTTGCCCTTCAGGCTCTTGCCGACAGTGGGTTTCTTGCCTGGCGCGTCCTCGTCGTCGCTGCCGTCCTCGCCAGCGAGGGCCATGGCTTCGAACTCGGCGGCGCGGCGACGCTCAATAGTCCCTTCATAGTCGTAGTACCTGTCAACCTCGGTGTCAAAGTCGGCGCTGCAGAATTCGTAAGGCTTGCCATTCGCGCCGAATATGAGGATCGAGACTGAAACGCCGCAAAGAACGGATAGCTCGTACGCCTTCTTCATGAGACCGGCCTTTCGCTTGAGGAAGGTGACATTGCGGTTGCGCTCGTCCTTTCGGGTCAGTAATGTGATGCGAGGAGGGCAATCGCGCGGAGTGCACCGTGGCGAAGGGGACGGAGGGGGAGGGGAGGCAGGACAACAAAGTAGAAGCGGGGAGAGTGATGATAGATAAGGAACGATCCATCACAGTTGCGATGAGGCCCAAACATGGACACGTACCGTGAGCGGCTTGATCTCAATCTTCTTGCGGCCCATTGTCTTATCGTCTACCGTCGGTTCTTGGGTAGTGTCCGAGATCCAGAGATAGAGCGGGGTGTCGAAAGTGTGGGCTTGGCAGCGGCGAAGCGACGGGGGCTAGGCCGGGGATGACACTTGGGCGGGGATGGTGATCTGGATGGGATGAGACGAGGATGCTGGAATAGAAGCCAAGAATCTTGGCGATGAATGTATGGCGACTTGTGTCGGAGTTGAGCGCAGCAGGCGACGAGTGCGATGGATCGGAGAGAGGAGAGAGAGAGAGGAGAGAGAGAGAAGAAAGAGCGAGATGGAGGAGAAGGGTGCTATGTTTAGTGGGGCGACTATTTCTGGGTGGGGCCAGAGCCAATTCGGGCGGCAGCGGGTCTTGTGCGCAGTCCTCGCTTCCCTTGCGCTCTCTGCAAAACTCATTCGTTCCCCCGACTGCTGTTCCCATCCACAACTCTAATCTCCCATGCACCACACACCCCCCACCCTTTTACTCGCTACCACGCTTGCACAACTGCGCGCCGCCACCGCCTCCAGGAGACGGCGGCCACAGGATTAAAAGGAGATGGAAGAAGGACCTCGGCCTCAGGCTTCGTGCGGTGCAAAACTGCGGAGGGCAATGGATTGGTTACCGATTCGATCGGGCGGGATCAAATATGGTCCGCTCCACCCCTGATGAGCTGCCCTTGTGCCCTTGCGGCCGCGGGTTAATAGGACAGAGACTGACAGTGCAGTGGTGCTCATGCACGTGACGTCATCATCCCCCGTGTGGCACATCTCATGCTGATTGAACAGACATGTGTCCACCCTCTCATTCTCCCATCGTACCTGCTGCAATCACCGAGCGGGCTCTCGTTTCTAGAGCTGGGCCATGGATCTCAACTACCAACCTTATCGATTCGAGCCTCGAGCTACTCTAGGTACAGGCAATCACAGCCCGTTAGCTAGTCCGATCTTACTGCGCATCGCTGCGCCGGCATCTGCTCGATACCGAACGCTGTACCCCACCTCGCTAAAACCCTCGGCCGTCGCTCTTCTGCACCGGCACCGTACTCGTCACTTGTGCCGATGCCTCATCCCTCTTTCCTCATGCCTCACTTACCACGATCAACATCCAACACCAATGATGACTGACCTCCCAACTCTCATACGTCCAATGGTCGTCTGACCAGAATTCCAGATAAAAGCCGTAAGGGGGCCAACGGGGCCAACGGGGCCACGGGGCCATCGGTCCGCCCCCCAGTTCCATCAATGTTTCCGATATATCTACTCGCGACTCGGCGTTTGAGTTCTCACGAATCGCGCAGTCCACGATGCTCCTTTGCCCCGTCATCGTCGCGTCCGGTGCTCGGAATAGTTACAGGATATGCGCAGCTGCATGCCTCAACGCCATCACCGCCCTACAGGTTACAGGTAACACTCTCTATGCCTCGATACAAGGCCTCCCACTGGCTACCAGGCCACCAGGCCACTAATGATACGGCCCGAGGTCAAACTGGTGTCCGCACCACACACACGTCCATTTGTCGCCGTCTCGCACGAACGAGCACCATTCTGTGTGTGAGCACGTTCTGGAGTCTGTATGGGTCCAATGGGGCGCATGGGGCGCATGGTTCCGGCGATTGGTCTGGGGCGAGGTCAACGCCCGCGCCCGCCCCTCACGGCCGCGCCCTACTGTCCCCGCCGCTCACCTCCCTCAGTCGTCGCTGTCATCGCCCTTTCAGCACCCCGACGCCCCTCCCCCCCCCCCTTCAATGCCCTCCAGATCTCTGACCCCTCTGATCAAATGAACCTCTACTCACTGCCCTTGTTCTCTCCCGAGTCGTTGCCAGGGCACTGCCGGAGGAGGGACATGCTGATTCGAACGCGATCGAACGAGATACCTTATGAAGAAGAGGTAGCGAAGAAGCTGTGCTTGCTGAAGATGGCGTGGGATACGTGGGATTAGCCTGCTCGTTGCTGGTCTGGTGATGGTAAGTGAGTGGAGAAATCCGGGGGGGGGGGGGCAAAAGAGGTCGTGTGATGTGACTCGTACTCCCAAGCTCCCAGGCCGTGTTTTATGTTGACTTCGGGGCGCGACGGCGAGGGGCACCGTGATGGCCGCGGTGCCAAGTGTGGGGGAGGAGGGGAGGGATCTCATGACAATGGGGCGAGATCTCGGCGATGACAGTCTGACGCCGCCCACCTTCCCATTTCCGCCGTCGAACGCCACCGCACACACACATCCCACGCTTCCATCGCGCATCTCCCAAGAAGCCTCTACTCCCCTGCTTCACCAGATGCATCAGAACGTTTCGTCCTCCGAATCCGCCTCATCCAATCCAAAGATCTTCTTGATGTCGGCGAGCGAAGCGCGCTGCTTTTGGCCAAGGGATGCGTTGATCAGCGCCGTCTTGGTCCGTTGAATCTTCATGATTCGCTTCTCCACGGTGCCCTTGATAATGTACCGAGTGACAAAAACCGGGCGATTCTGTCCGAGGCGATGCACGCGGTCGATAGCCTGCTGCTCTATGGCCTCGTTCCACCATGTATCCATCATGAAGACGTCTACAGTCAGTCACCTAGACAGTCCGAGAAGTGGCACTCACGGTTGGCCATAGTGAGGTTGAGGCCAACGCCACCCGCCTTGAGTGAGATAAGCAGGACGACGGGCTCGTTGGCCGGTTGACCGAACTCCTCAACACAGGCCGCGCGCTGTTGCTGGCTCATGGACCCATCGAATCGCAGCCAGCGAACTCCTTCTTTCGTCAACGTCTGCTCGATCAAATCTACCGTCAGCTTTGGACGACGCGCTCGCTCACCGAGGAAGGAGGTGAACTGCGAGAACACGAGCGCCTTGTACGTGGGTTCCTCCAGTCTCATGCTCTCCAGTTTGCGCGCCAAAGCGCGCAGCTTGGTGCTCGAGACAAGGTCCACCTTGCCGATTGTCACAGTGTCCTGCGAAGCGGCACTCTCAAACGGGTTTGCTCGTCGTCGCCGTCGCTGCACCGTCCGCAAGTCAGACACTTTCAGCGGCCCTTTGTCACATGTGGGACATGTCGCCTCTTTGCCCAAATCTTCACAGTGGCCGATGTAATCAACAATGCAATCCTGGCACCTGATATCAGTATCTTACGACAGAACGCAACTCACCCTCGGTGATAGCAGGGCAGGAGCACCTCGTCGAACACCTCGCCGAAACAGATAAGACACTCGGGTGTTGACTCGGCGTCACCAAGCTCTTTCAGCACCTGCACCGCGAACGCCGGGTCGACTGCCCCAGATCCCTCGCCGCCAGCGTACGACGCTATCAATTCCTTGATGTTACCCTCGTCCGCCCCCTCGGTGTCACCGTCCAGCAACTGATCACCCGACTCATCCTCCTCTCCGCCCTTGCTCATTACGAGTAGCGGGTGGTCTACGCACTGCCGCAACTTCATGAGCATGGCCAAAATAGACGTGTAATTGGACATTGCGCGACCGTCTGCGTCGAGCTCGATGAATTTTTGCCGCGCGCGATTCTCCAGCTGCTTGTAGATTTGGCGCTCTGTCCGGGAGAACTGAAGCACCTGCACATCGACAGTTTTGGACGGCAAGTCGACCACCAGGCGACCGTCCTTGTCTCGCATGTTCTTCTCTCGGCGCAGAAGGCACGACTCCAGAATGAACTGGACAACGTTGATCGCCTTGGGATCCTGGTTGAGGAAAGGGATTGTGACGAAGCTGCGGAAAAAGCTGTACAGGCCCCATGGTTCTAAGCGGAGGAAGTGGCTTCTGTCAGCTGACAGCGCTCTCCTGACTTACAGAAGAGAGTACAGGTCATCCAGGCGGTTGACAATAGGCGTACCCGTGAGGGCCCATCGCCGTCTCCCCTTCAGCTCATAGCACGCCTTTGCAATCTGCGCGGTGCGATTCTTGATGTTATGCGCCTCGTCGAGCACAATGCGTAGAAATTGGTCTAAGGTCAGTCCCTTGACACGGTGTCCCTCACAGTCGTATATACTGCTGCCGTCGTAGTTTGGCTTGTCCTTGTTCTTCTTCCACCGCCCGTACTCGCTTCCTAGAGTGCCATAACTGGTGATGACGACGTCGACCTTCTTCTTGCCTTCCTGGGCCAACAGCCGGCTAATGTCTGCGCGGTCGTTACCATACCACAAGGCAGCCGTAATTGAACCCGGGGCGCTCATCTTCTCGAGTTCGTCCTTCCACTGTGCGGCGAGCGAGACAGGGCAAACGACAAGCGTCGCACGAGGTGGCTGGCGCTTTGGTTTTGGCGCGTTGGCAACCGCCTGCCACTTACTCGAAAGCGTGACCTGAACGAACTTGCGTCGCTTCGACGGTCCCTCGTCGTCCTCGCCCTCCTCCTTGACAGGCTGAGAGGACTCAGGCTCTTCGTCGTCGCGGGCGGCGTGAATGAGCGACGTCATCATACATGTTTTGCCCATGCCTGTGGTCAGTTCAGCACAAATCGCGCGCAACTGACCCATCGCGTCCGCCAAAATGCCACCGCGGGCGGTGTTCTCTGCCCGTGGGAACTCGAGGCTCAACTCGCCGCTATATGGGTTCCAGAAGAACTTGCGCGAGGGGTCGATGATATCATCGTCATCCTCAATCTCGATGGGATCGCCGACCTGACGGTCTTTCCGGAAAGCGTACCTGCTGTTAGCTCCATCTGACGCACGCCAGCTTACTCCTCCCAAAGGGGATGCAAGGTCTGGTTCGAGTCTCGGAGATTGTCCTTGCCCGCTTCACGAGCCTGCATCCAGGTGAGTGCCTGTTTCTGATACGGTCGCAGCGTGTAAAGGAAGGTGTCTGGTGGCTCAGACTCGAGGAGGTTCGCGTCGTTCATCTGTGCCCTGCAAGTTAGTCGCGGAATACAGACCTGCTCACTTCCGGTAGATGGTGTCGATTTCGTTCAATTGCTCATCGTTGAGCTTTTCCTCTTCGTCGCCTGAGTCCTCCTCCTCTTCATCGCTGTTCCGTGCGGACGCCTTTCCCTTGTCCTTGCCGGACCCTGGACTTGGACTCTTACGTGGGCTTTTGCGCGGCGACACTGTCGACTTGAGGTTCGCGTCAAAAATGGCAGCGGCGGACCCAGGCTTCTTCTGCGCGAGCACGAGCTCGTTGGACTGCAAAGGCTTCACGCCGATGCGACCTGCATCAGCCCAACCATCGATTAACTCACTGAATAGTGCGCCTAATGCCTCTTTACGCGAGCGCATGGCCTCCTCTTCAGCCGTCTCCTGCTGTTCCTGCCAGAAAGTATTGCTTTCTAAGCGGTCCTTCTTCTCTATCTTCTCGAACCCCTGACGCGCGAGATACACCTTGACATTCAGCAGAATGGTGCTGCCCGTCGCAAGAACTTGCGGACAGTCAATCACATGCCCCTCCAGCTCGACTGGCATCAGCAGTGAACAAGTATGGGTGGCGAACTCACTTACACCCGCATCGAGCAGGTGGACCAGAAATCCGGCCTCAGTGACAGATAAGCGACCGACCTCTGCTGATTAGCGGGCCACAACAGCAAGCACTGACCAAAGCCCCGCTCATTTCGGAAGCGCACAACTTGGTCGACCTTCTTCGCCGCCGCCTTCTTCGTCTAGCGTCAGTCATTATCGACGAGGCCCTCTCACAATTGGTGCCGCTTTCTTCATCATGGCACCGAGTGTCATTTGCTTCCCACCGATCTTTGACTTGGCGTGTACGACTTTGCCGTTCACTAATCGAGCTGGGCCAAGCTTGGCGCTTGTATCTGGTCCGAGTTTGTCGACGGCCTTGGCCTTGGGACGCTCAAAGACAACCACGCTCCCCGGCGAGCAGTATCCCTTGCCCTTGGACAGAGACCAGCCCTCGCAAACAAATTCGCCGAGGTAGCCGCGCGTGAAGCTAGGCCGCACGGTCGAGCGATGCTCCTGGGTCGCGGGGCGCTTGGAACGCGATGGAGCAGCCGGTGGCGAGGAGGGGAGCTTGGCGGACGACGTGAGTTTGGAGGAGGATGATTGTCTGGACGCAGATGGTCGGGAGGATGATCGTGGAGGGGAAGAACGTGAGGAAGGTGCCGAACCGCCGACCACCACGAAGTCATCGTCGTCGTCGCCGGGAATGAACAGCGCTTCCTTTCGCGAGGGCCCGTCACTCGCGGGAGCGGCTTCTTCCTCCGAGTCCGAGTCGGCGGGAAAGAAGAGGTTACGCTTGGAGGGGCTGCTCATCGCTTGCGATAGATGGCCGTGCTAATGGAGTTGTAATGTAAACTGTAGACACAAAAACATTGCAGACGCGTCGCGCGTCAGGTTAGTCAACTGGAGGTGGAGGTTCCAAATCGTATATCCCAAGCTATATCCGTCGCGCGTCATCGGCGACCTTCCACAAGAGTTGGTGTGATCGGCACGACGGCCGCCGGGCTGTGGGCGGGTTTCGATGACCTTGCTGGTGATTGCCATCATAACTTTGCCACTCCGCGCTTACACTTGTCCATCGTCGAGCTTGCGCCATGGACCCGCGATTCCTTTTCCTTCGATACCCGGCGCAGGAAGCGCTGCCGCTGCGTACAACATTTGCGCACACTAATACCTCGTTTGGAAGCGTGCGCCTCAACTACTGGCCAGCGCGGCGGCCAGCCCCGCCCTCCCGTGTCGTCCTCTTCGTGCCCGGTGCGTCAGCCCATACTCACTTGCCACCGCCCTCTCCTCTCTCTTCGCTCTCCTTTTTGTCTGGCATCTCATCTTCTATTCTATACTACGCGATGCCCGTGGCGTTCCCATCTCATCCCAACTCCGCTGATTCTAGGCAACCCCGGCTGCCCCGAGTACTACACGCCTTTCCTGACGATGCTGCACGCGCGTCTCCCCGACTCCCATGCCGTTCTTTGCACGTCGCATGTGGGCGGCGAACCCTCTATTGCAGCCCCGGAACAGCCCCTCTGTCTGCGGCAGCAGGTCGATGCGAAAATTGAGGTCATCTCGGCCCTACGGGCGAGCCTTGAGGCCTGGCCGCGGGAGAGTGGCGAAGCACCAGAGCTCGTGGTCGCTGCGCACAGCGTCGGGTCTTGGATGACCTGCGAAGTCGCCAAAGTCGTCGACATCCCTACATCTTACCTCCTTTTCCCGACACTCGGCTGGATCGCAAACTCATATCACGGGTGGACAATGTGGCCACTCTTCCACAGGCCTCTGCGTCCCCTCATGCCGTGGATTTCGTACCTCGTCCGGCCGCTCCTCCCTTTTGTTACTCTCCCGGCGGCGAGCTATGCTCTCGTGTCCTCGCCCACGACTATCAAGCATGCGCTGCACCTCGCGCACTCCGAAATGGCGATCATCCGAGAGCCAGACGAGGGGTGGTTCCGCACCCAGAGTGAACTGCCCGCTGGGCGGGGTGCGCACAGTGTCTGGAGCGCCGGCAATATGGATGGCTGGGTAGGCAAGGAGGGGCCTATGATCCAGTCGTGGCTTGGGGAGGAGCGCGTTGTCAAGCTTGAAGGCGTGAGACACGCTTTCTGTCTTTGTGAGTGGTGACTGACGATATGGAGAGTGCTGACGGACAGGGGAGGAGGATTATCGCCAAGTCGCGGACATACTTGCTGGGTGGATAGTCGAAGGGACTAAGGCCAGGTTGCTCGACTAGACACGAACTGGACGTGAACGCTTGTAGCAATATAACGGTGATCTAACGACGCTATGTGAACCGATCTCTCGCCCAAGGCACGGCCCGAAATCCACATTTAATTGCGCCATTCCGACTGACAAATCTGCTGCTGCTATGCATGTACTAATGTAAATCTATTCGAGGGTGAGGATTGTGAATACAACGAGAGAGAAGAAGCTAAAAACTTAAGCCCTATGATGTGGGGATGTTTGTCTGGGTCTGATCGCTGGAGATGCTGCGTCGGCCCCCCTCCAAGTTCAGGCTGCGAAGAGCGTCGGGAATGTCAAAGTGGAAGAAGGGAGTGGCGCGATCGAGAAGCGTGAGCGAGCTGCTGCTCGAGCCTGAGCTGCCAGTGGTGCGGCGAGGATCGCCGAGGTCCTCGCCATCGCTAACAACCGGCGACTCGTCAACCGTGCCGTACAGGTCGGTCTTCTTGTCGGCGATTGATGAAGAGGAGGACGAAGTGGACGCCTCGATCTTGGTCTCGACAACAGACTCGATGTCGGGGCGGGGGCGGGGCGTGACGGGGCGAACCGATCTAGGGTCGGCGTCACCGCCGACACCGTATGCGCCAACGACAGGGGCGATCTCACCGTTGGGGTCGGCACGGTTGATACCCCGCCCGAAGCCTCCGGCGATGAGGGCTCGTCTGATCCACGGAGACAGGATGCCAGTGAAGTGGAAGTCGACCGGCTTGTCCGCCCACTTCTCAACTTCTTTGCGCGCGTCCACCAGATTCTGCACACCCGTCGTGTCGATGTTGGCAACAGCTGAGAAATCCAGGATTACCGCGCGGAGAAGCGGCTTGTGCTTGTCGTCCTCGGTGTGCTCCTCACCCTTCTTGGGTCCTGGGTCGTTCCAGGGCCGGTCGCCCTTCTTAATCTGCGAATAGTCTTTGCCCCGGCGCGTGTGGCGCTTAGCATAGTCGACGAGACGGTCGTTGATGTAAGAGGCGTTGGGGTACAGGAATGACTCTTCGAAGCGGTAGATGATGACTCCAGGGGGAGGAGGCTCAACAGGAACGTCGCGGTTTGTAACGCCGTCGCTCTCCTCGAGAGGGACGAATACGTCACGGGTCGGCGCGTCCTCAGCATCCTCAGTGCGGATTCGCACACGTCCAAGGAAGTGGCCCTTGGGACGGGCGATGCGGAAAAGAAGGAGGACCACAGAGCACACAAGCGACCAGTAAATGCCGGATTCGATGTTGTAGAAGACCGACCACAAGACGGCACCGACGAAGATGAGGTACTCGAGGGGCGAGACGCGCCAGAAGGCAATAGATTGCTTCGGGGAGGTCACCAGATCCGCAACAGCGTGAATGATGAGACCCGAGAGAGTGGCGTTGGGGATCCAGTAGAAGGCCGGGGCCACTGCGTACAGCGCAATGATGACGACAATACCGGTGGGGATACCCGCAGCCGGGGTGCGGACACCCGACTTAGATTTGAGGGCTGAGCGCGAGAAGGAGCCGGTCGAGGGGTAAGCGGAGAATACAGAACCGAGAGTGTTGTTGACGCCGATGGCAATAAGTTCCTGGTTCGGATTGATTTTGTATCCGTTCAGACGGCCGAACGACTTCGCAATGGCGATGTGCTCGAGAAGCAGGATGATCGTAGCAACAGGAAGGTGCGAGCCCATGGCGCCAATGAGCTCACCAGTAATGAGAGGGCGGCCTAGGTGCTGCAGGCCCGTGGGGACCTTGCCCACGAGCGCGATGCGAGGCTTCGCGTGATGGACGTTGATGCGCCACGAGATAATTGTGAAGATAATGATCACGAAGGCGTGACGGAGTGCCTGTGCGAAGAAGGCGGCCCGAGCGTACTTTGGATACCGGCGCTGGACAAACGCGAGACTCCACTTAATAAAATACAGCAGGGCAAGTGCCGAGACACCAAAGGCCGCGTCAAGCTTGGCCTGCGGTAGATGCTTGAGTGTATTGATAATGACCTTGTAGGTTGAATCCCTGGTGTTGAGAAGCTTCGATACACCCAGTAGGGCAGGAACTTGGCCGGCAGCGATGTTGATGGCCGAACCAGTCATGAAACCGGAGACTGCGGGCTGCGGGATGAACTCGATGATCCAGCCGACACGGAGGAGACCAATCGCCAATACGATGCAGCCGCAGATAAACGCCAAGCAAGTTGCAATCTCGGGTGCAGTCCACTTGTCGGGATGAGCAGCCATGACCTTGTGCACGATGACACCAGTCTCGAGAGACATGACCGCGACGGGACCAATCGAGACATCCTTGGAGGTGGCGAAGAAGGCGTAGGTAAGAACACCGATGAACGAGGAGTAGAGGCCGTACTCGGCGGGCAGACCGGCGAGCTGCGCATACGAAAGTGACTGAGGAACGAGGACCATGCCAACAGTGATACCCCTTGTTGTCAGCCCATGGCCGAAGAGATCGCAAGTATGTGCCACAAACTCACGCAATCAGGTCACCAGTGAGCCATGTGAGGTTGTAGCGCGGCAGCCATTGCAGGAAGGGGAAAAGACTCTTGACATACTCCAGTGCCTGCCATCAGCGATAAAGCCAGACGCATGGGCAATGAGCAAGACTTACCGCCTGGGGCCAGTCACGCTTGTTCTCTTGGAAGTACTCCGTTACAGAAATGGAGCGGGGAACAGTGTCATCGTCCAGGCCAGCAATCTTCTTCGCCTTGGCCTTGACGCGCCGTCCGAAGGTACCGTAGGCTGGCATAGTATGAGAAGGGGGCGCTGGAGGCGCCAGGTATCTCGCGAGGAACCGAGAGAGGAAAGATGAGATAACGTGTGGAACTTGTCCAAGAGGTGGATCTGTGCCAAGCCAAGGCGAGTATTGTCGTCAACCGTTTTGAGCTGAAGCGAGCGTGGCGTGCAGGATCCTCTGTAATGTCCGAGGGGTGTGCGTTCTTGGCGCCGAGCCTCGTCTATAGTTATATGTCTAGGTTATCTATGCGCGTAGCCGGGAGTCCAAGACCGGGATGTAGTGGTAGTGAGAAAATAGAAAGAGCGAACGAACGAGGTGGGTCGATCCATGGTGAGTGTAGTCAGCACGTACGCGGATAGACGGATGGCGACATGACGCAAGTGTGCGACTAGGCGGAGCATCTCCAATACATCAAGCAGCCTACACGGCCATGAGCCGCTGAAACGAGCGAGCGCGCGGAGGGCGCTAGGGCGTGTGCACGTAGCTTTTCCTGAGCAGCGAGCATTAAAGCGGGAGTCAGTGTGCGTCAGAATAGCTGCTCATGAGCCACGCTTCCTTGAGCGCCGGAGAACAGGAGAACTAGTGGAGGGTAAAAGACATGTCGCAATGTTGGCGCCATCTCGCATATACAGCTGAGCACTCATCACGCCATGCCCACGTGCGTTTCGCGTGGACGCCCTTTAGGTTTCCTAATACAGAGGCTTTTGAGCATTAGCGGAGCTTAAGGGGCATTTATCACTTCATTCATCGTCTGAACTTCTACGACACCTAACAACTTTGTCAGTCTCCTCTCATCAGCTCATTAGCTCCATCTCTGAAATCCCCGTGTCTGTCCCCCAAACTAAGTACATACATGTATTTCTCCATGATCCATGGCCCATGATGAATGACCAACCCACCCCCAGGTCTGGCACGTGTTTCAGGCACTCGGGGATTGGCATGACATACCACAAACCCGACTGTCCATGCGCCATCACTACGCCACCCTCAGAATCTGGAACTTTTCGCGATGCGTGCTCACTCACCACTCACTGACAGAGAAACACCATCCTCCCTCCTCGCTATGCTCACCGAGCTTTCACTGATCACGCTCACCTTCACGACTGCGAGGTATAACATCCCCACTTGCCCCACATTCCGCCCCGCAAAACTGTGAGCCGAAAAAGCCCAGCCCTCTGTGCGCCATCGTGAGCACATTCCGCTCGCTCCTTGCGAGCGACCCAGACCTGGTGGCGCACGAGCCGGCTTCCACGCGCAGCGCGAGCGTGAGCCCGGTGACCGGTCTGATCTGAATCTGCGGCAAGTAATTTAGCACACTGACGATCAATGTGCGTTCTGAGTGTGAGTGTGTGAGCGTCAACTTTGCTGCGTCTTCTCAGAGTAAATTGTGCAATCCGCGCCGCCCTGCGGAGATGGCCTCGCCAATAGTCCGTGCTTCCATTGGCTGTGCTGAAGTGCTCCGCTGAGTTCCACATGCCGCGGAGACACTCTTGCGATTGCACGAAGCTCGAACTGGAGAGTCGTAAGAACAGCCTCAGCCCGACGACGCCGGAATTATGTCGGGCGACGGCACAAATTTCTCTTGAGATCTGGAATATTCAAGTATGATGCGGCCCCCGCATTTGCGTCAACACAGCGAAGCAGGCCATCTTCTCTCTTGATGAGCACCACGGCGTGAGCGTGTGACTTGCGACTATTCGCTGCGGCCTCCTCACAAGCCGCTTCCGCCGCTTATTATCCTCTCATTACGTGTGATCTCATTGTCTGGGGACCTTGGGCGCAATGATGCACCATTGTTCAACTGGAATGCGAACACGTCACATCGTGCGATGGTGGACTTTACCTAGCCTTATCATTCGCTGCCTGTCGCCTGCCACCACTGCCACCGTTGTATCGAGGGGCATCCACGAGTGAACGATGTGGGCAATGCGACGCCGCCCCCTCTGTATTGTTGAGAACCCGGTCAGGACTGTGCTGGATTCTGGTCCTTGACCGCTGTTCACGATCTTTCCGCCTGACCCTTCCAGCACCCAGTGCTAGGGGCGGGCGGGCCTCTGCCTGCTCTGCAGTTTCGGCTTGCGGCATGCGTACGGGCTTGGTGCGCGCCACTCCCAATAATGGGAAAGGGTGCCGCGTGATGTAACTGTCGAGGAGCAAACGCTGCACGTGACCTGTGTGGCACACTTGTGTAGCGTGTGGCATGTGGCATAGCAGACGCGTGCGCTTGATAGCCGCCCGACGAAGCGGCTCTGCACGGTTCGTGGGAAGTACGCCCTCGCTAGGTCACAGCCATTGGTCCTCGCAACATAATTGCGCCACGGCATGCGGCGTGCCACCGATTTTGAGAAGCTCACATTCTACCTGCGGTACGGCCATACTCCGACCGCGCATCAGTCGGTTGCTCCATTTGCCCGCAGCAGAGACCGTTTACAGCATCCTTGTCCTTAGATGGCGTAGTTCTTAGACTGCGCCTTCTAAGGCAAGTCGCCCACCACTGCGAGGACGCCTGTGCCCAACTACGATGGGTTGCTCCCTCTTTCGCTCTGTCTTGCCGACTGGGCAGATGTGGGCTCGGGTACTCATTGTTACGCATGTCGGCTCTGCGAGTTCCCGCCCGTCTCCTCTTACTCTTGTCCTGGTTCTCGCTGCATATTGAACGAGTCACTTTTCGACGTTCAGGTTGTGTTTCTCGTCATGCCCAGTTTGCGGCATACTCCGCGTCTCCACTCTATTTGGCCGTCCGCGTTGTCCTAGTAGTGAGCTTCGCGATGAGGGGACCATGGAGCCAAGGGTCGAGTCGCAGGGCCGAAAGCAACCACTGAGCTCGCGTGACACCCCCAGCGCTCGTCTCGGGCAATGGGGGCGCTGGCGAAGTGCAGAACAGACTCTAGCATGAACCGAGCGGTCGACTGACCTCACAGCCACAGGGCCATTTTCATGGAGCTCTTTTACATCCGTTTCCCTGCTCCTGCACGCACAGGCCGCTGCAGCACGAAGCATGGCGCCGACTAAAGCAGCGCGCCAACAGTTTCCATGCGCAGAACCCAGCACTCAAGGCCGCTTAGCTCAGCTGGTTAGAGCATTGTACTAATACGCAGACGCGTATCAGCATATGCAAAGGTCGGCAGTTCGATCCTGTCAGTGGTCAGCTTCCTCCAGTAACACGGAGGAGTTCATCTTTTGACGCAAAGAGGAGTTTGAGAGGTTGGAAGAAAACGCGGAAGAGATCGGCGGACGAGCGTGGCTGTGCCACGAGGCGTGCCTGTTTTCTTGACCCTTTCTACAATATCCATACCTTCCCTTGTTCCTGACAGGTGCCTGAGTTTATTGTGTGTGTGATCGTCGCAGTGCTTGCAATCCTCAGCATCATCTGGCGAGAGGCAGATGTACCCGGCGTATCGGTCAGTCCAGGAGGGATTGCTCATGGTGAAAGCAGGAGGGAACTTGCTGACTTCCGACTGCACTGGCTGCTGACTCAATCTCTCTGTGTTAAGCAGTGAGAGCCTGGCGACATCGGGCCGCGACTTGTCAATCACGAGAACACTCACGCCGGCGGCCACGGGGTTGACGGACTTTTCGGGCCCCGAGCAGCCTAGTACATGTTAAGCGGCATCCGCCGTGAGCTGCGGATCGTGAGCATAGCAATCAGACCGACGGCTTACGGACGGCATTGGTGGACGTCAAAGTTGATAGCCGAGGTCACGCGGCACAGCGAGGTCACGAGTAGCAGTGACGGCTGCCTCGTGACGCGAGTCACGAGATCAAGATCTCACAGAGACCGTTCAGACGAGCTGACATCCATCCTGCATTTCACTCAATGTCGGCTGACACTATGCGCGCCACAGTGACTCTCCCCAGTCCCCAGATCTGACATCATGATAGCTGATCAGACAGACGTGTGACGCGCTGCTGAACGTTAGCTCGTAGTTCGCGCAAGCTTTGTGACATGGCAGGGTTCCCTGAATCATTCAAGCGACACAAACTTCAGTCAGCTTTGCTAACTGCGTATGATCATCGAAGCTGACAACCCCCAAGCTGAGACTGCTCCAATCTTTTTGGCTTCAGGACTTCTGCCGAGTGTCAAAACTGTCGCGAGCACCTGACAACTACAAGTTCGCTGACCTCACAAGCGCCTGGATAGCGCGACCATCATCCTCGCATCAGCAAAACATGGGACGAGCGTCGCAACCAACCGAGATTACACTGAATGCGTACCTCTCAGAGCTCAGCCTTGCCTAGGGGCAAGGCATGACGCCGTGCGGAATGCAGCACGAGCTACAGACTGCGCCGAGGCAAGTGGGGAGATCAACGAAGATGGCAAGCGATATCATCAGTTTTCGGGCGGAATCTGCCACTTTCTGCGGACTCCTCTGTCGCGACTGGCGAGGATCTGATGTCACAGTCCTTGGGGCATGCACGGGTAGTAAAATGAGTAGGACCTTCTACGAAAAACATAGCATGGCGTATGACGCGCATCACCGTCACTCGTCTTTGCACACCGCGTTTGGCTTTTCTTCCAAGCGAGCTGACTGCGGCTCGGTTCAGTTTCGGCAGTCACCAACCTCCCTCTCGTTTGTTCAAGTCACGCGTACACGTATATCGGAGCTGGTCAGCCCTTGGCGAGGTCCACTGTTCCGCGTAGACCGGAGCATCTGAGGAACGGACGTAGCCCATCTGTCCCGTCCACCCGCCGATGGTGCAGGTGTTCTTGGCACGGCCGGTGGTCTGACCCGTGTCTCCAGATTCTCAGCGATAGGCCACGTTTGGCATTGTGACATCGCTTGGCTACGGCATGCAGACCCGGATGCATGCGTCGACATGACATCCATGCGTCGTATCACAACAGCGGAGGAGTAGGACCGTTTCGTCATTCCAGAATCAGTTGCTCGTTTTGCACTTGCCAAGCGATAAGGCGTTTGGGCTGTCATCAGTATCCTGTACGTGATCAGCGGAAATGCCAAGCCGCTCTCGCGTCAGACATGGGACATGCGTGCAATCGGATCTGTTCTCGCTTGGCTCGCGTTCGGATCAAGAACATCACTCAGGGGTGACCCACAAGGCCCATTCTCCGGATGACCTCGCCGGCTCGGTGTGAATATCGGCATTGCCTCGTGTGCGGTGACGAGCAAGTGCAGCTGACGCGATGACAATGCCTCAACGAGGAACACAGCGCCTCTGCTGACAGTTCGCGACGTAACGAGAAACGGGCGGTGGCCCCCGCAGCAGCCTTGGCGCGTCTGCAGGATCTCGCATGCGTCGGGCGGCTCGCGTCGACATTCACCCCGGCTCACGTCCACCATGATCCGGACTCCAAAGCTTTGCAGCCAGCCTCATCAATAACCAGCCGAGGACCAGGAACCGGGGTCCAGTGGGCAATGCTGTGGCGATGATTGCTCGCTTGCCCGCTGACCGCATAATGTGAATTGTGGTTAGTGATCGAAGGGAGTCCAGGCTACGGAGGCTCCACCCCGCCTCGGTTCCAGATGGCATGTGGCGCGGGGCCATGCGGGGCGAGGCATGCAAAACGGCCGATCACGAGGTCACCGTTGCCCGTCACCTGCCACATGCTGCTGACTGGCCAATCTCTAAGCATCCCGTTCCAAACTAGGGCAGCCTAGCATCTCACTTCCTCGGAAGCGATTCGAAATGCGGTTTGACAGAACGGTACGCCGCGCTATCGTGACCGCTTCATTGGATGCTTGCCTCCAACAGCTCCACATGAACCACGCGCCGGTTGTCGATCATTGAGGTGCGGAAATTCCGGGCTGACCGGCGCCAGCCTTGCCGATCACAGCTCCGAGCGCCAAGAGCGCTGGCTGCCGCCAGTGCCGCTCGACTCTCCCATCTGGCAAGCGCCAATCCGCACATTGTATGCACATGCGGATGCGGACCTCGCGGCAAGCATTGCCCAATCGTCCACTTGCAGCGGTCATTGCGGGTGGGAATCGCACGGAGTGGCGCCGTCACTGACTACCGTCCGAAGATGACGCCATGCGTGCGGAGACCTGCACAAACCCGGTTGGTCGCGGTACCGACATGGAGCTTTCATCGATGCTGATGCGCTAGCCTCAACCCGACGCGGCGACGTGTCACCGTATCTGTATCATGTGAGCCCGATCATGTGGCACGGGTCGATCGTGACTCGTATGTGTGTGCTCACGTGTCGCTCCACAAGCGATTGCGCTATAGCTACACGCTCCATGTGATCACTTCAAGCATGCGTTGTCGCCGGCGGCCTGCCTTTCAGCTCGTGCGGTCAGTCCGCTCCGGTCGGAGCGTCGCCGCGTTGACACTTCGGCACCTCGGCACCTCGGCACTCGGGCGCTTGTCTACTCCGCTCCGGTGTCCGATCCGATCAGGTGACGTCCCCGTGACCAGCCCCACCCCGAGTGAGATGTGAGTGGCTGCACGGGCCGCAGTTTTCTCAGCCGCGCGCGGTGTTGATGACCGCGCTGACATTGACCGCTTGCTGTGCAGGGACGTTGGGCATGATGTGAGAACCTCAATGTTCCAGAGGCCCGTGGAGGTGAGTTTTTGCAGTTCTCACTCGTCCGTGATGAATAACATGTTGTACATTGTGCCACACAAGCACTGAGTCCCTGCCGGCCTGCAAACGGCCTCTGTGATGCCGACTTTCCCTCGCCACTTAGAGTCCCAGCGACTATTCCGCCGGTAGGGCAGTCACTCCGTTGTATTACGCATAAGGATCCGTCTGCGGCTTTCATCCATGTTAGCAGGACAGGACAAATACCGGATACTCCACAGGATGAGGGGCGAGTGTGGCAGCAGAGCGAACGTGGCGGTTGGAGCGACCTGCCTCAGTTCACCAACCTATGAGCGGCTGATCTTCCGGCATCTGATGTAGCTCTAGTCTGGGGTCAGTTGAGCCCGGTCTGAGTTTGAAATTGCGCTTCAACGTTGCAGGTGACCGCTCGTCCTGCTCGGACGACCACCACCGCACAGCGAGTTTGGAAGATTGCTGCGATGGAGGAAGCCCGGACGTCCAGTCGCTGCACAGATGATGGTCATGGCACATGCCTCCGATGACCAACAGCGCACTGCATCACCGCCTATCGCTCCGACGGTTCCGCTTAGTGCCCCGCTGCCTACCGCCGCTTAACACGGAAGCGCGCGTCGGGAGCGCTCCTGGATGACCGCTATCGGGCGCCTTTCACCGCGCTTCTTCTCAAATGACCTGAGATGGCCGCGCGATGCCGGGCACATGTCAGCTCACATGCTCCGTGACTGATCACGAGGTCGAGTTCGCTCGCGGGATACGCATACTTGACATATTTCGCTCCGATGACCGCATCAGCTCCGAACATCAGGCCGAGTGGAGAAGCCAACCGGGACAAATCTAAATTTCTCACCAGTCCATTGTGTGCATGCGCTGATAACAATTGCTGCATCACTCCGATCACATGCTCAGCTGCATGCTGGGAGAAGGCCTGACCTATGTGGGGTGATCTGTTTGCCTGGTGGAGCGCGAACAATTTCACAAGGTCACCTAGCCCACTCTATTAGATATTGAGCTCACGTCTTGTCCCTGAAGAGCGCTGCATGCGTCCAGAGTGCGATCACACGACTACTAGACATAGTGGCTCAATATCTGTAATTTCTCGCCGCGCTTATCTGAATTCCGCTCCACCGCAGACTACTTGTCCGTTCTGGACACCTCGGATGCCGATCAGTCGATTCCATATCCCCAAACTACGCCGAGCGCTATTGCCCGCCCCCGCCTGACTCCGCAGCTCTCGGCCCCATGCGTCACAATATGTCACGATGCGGAGCGCTCCACGCTCCAATACCCATCACGCCTGGCCTTGCCGTGTCATCACCCCGCGGCCGTCACATTCTGATAACGGGTGTGCGATTTTCCGGGCTGTGAGCAATTTATGGCCAATCAGTCTGTCTCGACGAGCGGCGCTATTGTCGTCGCCATCGTCGACTGGTATGGTCGTTTCGGCGACACCGTTGCCTTGATGAGAACAGACTAGTGGGCGGGCTTGTCTTCCAATCTTGTGGATATGTGCAATTGTTGGGCCACCTGGACCTCTGACAAGTCCCGGTGACATATCGTCTCCCCGAGGATTGCCTTCTCAACGCTGGGAGGAGGGGCCAAGACGTGCCACATCTTCCGGGTGACACGTCTTCAAGCCTTCTGCATGTGGGATGCTTGGGATACCTGTCTAGCCTTCGTCCATTTCTTCCCATCGAAGCCTTGACCCCGCCGGTTCACAAAACTCTCAACACATCAAAACGACAACGACCTGATTCGAACAGGCGCTCCCGAAGGAAATTGATGTAGACATGCGTTCTAGTCAATCGCGTTAACCACTCCGCCACGTTGCCGATGGAAGATGGGGCAGGCAGGGAGGATGTCCCTCGGGTGGTGTGGGCGATTTGGAGCTGAGTGATCGTATCGTGAGTTTCCATGTACGGGAGGTGAACCCGCTGCTGGTGTGGGGACTCTTTGGACGTCGCGCGGAGCTGTGTAATCTGCAACAGTGTGTTAAACGGAGCGGCACTGCGGCGCCCGTCGCTGGCCTGAACCAGTAATCAGTAATCGAGAGTCTTGTGAGCGATCACGTGAAAACACGGAGCAAAGCTACTCCGCTCGGGTTGCACCGCCTCAGTAACGACGAGTTGGATGCGGCATGTATCTTTCGTTAATCCAATCTCTGTCAAGTGTCAACTCTTATTGAGATAATCGTATGGACATTCCCTCTTTCATACGACCTCGTGTAGGCCGGCCAGTTTGACTGACTTCAGTGATGTCTGAACTTCAGACAGTCATCTCATTGCCTGCATTACATGACCTGCTTCTTGCTATGTTACGGACGTGTGCTCAGATGTCTGCGCATCAGTGACTGTTCGGGGTGAGGGGAGAGGTTTGTGAGTCCAATGCCGCACTCGACATCCCTGTCTCCTAGCACGTCATTGCACCACAGTCCCCGCCTCATTACTGCCATTCTCTTCTCCTCTCTTCTCATTCAACTCACATAACTCAAGCACAGCAGCCCCGCTTCGATGGGCACTGCTTGCACTTGCAGTTGCTGCATTTGCAGTTGGCCTCGCAGCCACAGCTCTCGCCAGGCGACTCGCAGCTAATGTTAGCAAATTCGATCACATCACCCGCCACTCCTCTCGCCTCAAGTCTCCTTTCCTCGGTCATTCTCGGTGGAGGCGACAAGGCAGCGAGCGCCGCCTACCACCCACACCCCTAGGTCCGCACTCGCGTCCCACATGTCCAAGGAGCTGGCCATCATGCATCACTCGTTCGCACCACCATCACACCACTCCATCAAACCGTCGAGAGCTAAGAGGTGCCCAAGCGTTCGTATATGGACTCACTGGCAATCCTTGGTCTGCTTCGATGGGCAAGAGGGGCACTTGCACTCCGCGCACTGGCAGCTGGCGCCGGGCTGCTCGCACCTGTATGTCAGTTTGAATACACTCTCGCCGCCTGGCGCGTGGCCAAAGCATTACTCGCCGGCTCGGCCAGTGCGGTGCAACCTGCACCTCACGTTGCCAGACGCCTTCACGCTTCCTGCTCACTCCCACGCTGCCTTCCCAGCCATCTCGACTCACTTGCAAGCAGCGGCTTTCTTCGACGGGCACGAGGGGCACTTGCAGTCGGCGCATTTGCAACCGTCGGCACACTTGCAGCTCTCGCCAGGCTGGGAGCAGCTGTCTGTCAGAACGTTCCCGAGTCTGCAGTGCCCATCTACGCTCTCCACCAGACGGTCACCGCGCCATAACGAAGTGCCAAGTTTGCTAGGCTGATGCCTTTCACTTCCCCGGCTCCACACCCTCCCAGACCCCTCCTCAAGTCACTAGACTCACCTGCAGGCCACCGCCTGGTTCGCTGGGCACGAGGGGCAGTCGCACGAGCCCGTGCACTTGCCACCACACTCGCACTGAGCAGTTGGCGTCTTGGGGTCACACGCGCAGGCCATGGTTAACTAGACTGTTGCGGGGGGAGTTGATAGAGGGTGAAAGAGGGTAAGAGTGAGATGCAGATGAGCGTGAGGGAGACGTTAAAAGCTGAGGACGGAGTCAAGCGACAACTGAGTTCGAGTTGAAGGGGCGACCGCACAAAAGGCTCACCGGTCACCGAGGTGCGTCAGGTGGGCGGCGGAAATGCCTCACACGGATCGGCAGAGCGTGCGTGGCGTAACGTCACTCCTCGCGGAAAATTCCCGGGTGACGGAGATGCCCCTTACTCCGCACCTCCACTCCAGACGACAGCAATCTCAATGAAAGTTCCTTAGAACCAACTTTCAACTCACGTCGAACGATTCACGATGCGCCGTGCCGCGCGGCGGCCCCTTGCGCGTATTTCTCCCCAGCTTCGTACTGGTACGCGGGCACTCACAGTTTCGGCGCACACTCTTGAGCATCCGACGCCCGCATCGCTCGAGACCCACCTCTCCAGTCTTCCCTGCAACAGCACCCTCCTCTTCACCCTCAGCACGTCTATCCAGTCGGTAGACGTCGGCCCCCTCTTGTCCCTCCTCCACTCCTTCCCCTCGTCCTACTCTCTCCCATCCTCAGCGACCGTGGGTTCGCACTCGCGACGAACCCACGTCGTCGGCTCGTTCTACCAGTCGGCGACGCATACTCCGGAACTCGCGATCGCCGCCTTCTCCCCGGACGTGGAGGAGGGCGAGCGTGTGCGCACGTTTTACTGCGAGGCAAGTGGACGCGCTCCGGCTAGCGTGGGGCGATGGTACCGAACAGATGAGCCGGAGTGGCCCGAAGACGAGCGAGGGGATGCCGTTGGCGAGCTTGAGGGCGTGCTGGGCGAGAAGGGGTGGGAGGGCGTGTGGGCCGCCAGGGGCGACGAGGCAAAGATCGAACTTGGCCAGGACACTCAGAGTATTGTGGTGCTCACGGATGGAACCCCGTCGCCTGTGCTTCGGGCGCTAGGCGCGTACAAGGCTACGACGGTGAGCTGTCTTAACACGCCCCCACTGACGCCCAGACAGGCCTTGTTGCCGCTGCAACGCCCTTCCTCACAGGAAGACCATATACTCTCTTCCACGGAGGCCAGGTTTACGGTGGGGGCAGCGTCGGGCTGGGGATCACGCGTCCCTGCAGCGCCGGGATCGAGTATGGTGTCGAGGCGCTAGATGTGCCGACTAAGGTCGCTGGGTGAGTATTGGCATCAATTGGAGGGGCTGGGGAGGTTCTGATGGACACCGAAGAGTCGAAGAGAGGCTAGAGTTGGTTATGGAGTCCGAGGACGACCTCAAGCTATCCGAGGGGGGCCATATGAAGTGGACGGAGCCATGGCAAGACGATGACCGTTCGGGTCCTCCCCCCCCCACTCCACCACAACGCACGTCACGGACATCTTTGCTCACACCAGCGCACGGGGCAATCTACTCCTCTCGTTTGACGGGCGTAACCCTAACCCGACGCAATGCCTCATTGCCGCGCTGCAGGCACGCGATGGCAAGGGGCGGAGCGGTATAACCAAGGACGAAGAGTTCTACCTTGCAATCATGGAGCCGGGGGTAAGTTGATTGCGCTCGCATAGCGGAGCGGAGACCATCACTACGTGTCGTCCAGCTGAACGGGCTCGACACGAGCTCCTAATGGATAGCATCTCACCTTACCTTCCGTTGCCCCAGCTCACACCAGTCCCCAACGCCCCGCGTAGTCCGCATCCTCTCAGGCGACCCCTCCCGTGGCTCAATCTCGCTGGAGACAGAACAACCGCTGTATCCGGGCCAGTTCGTGCAGGTGAGCTTATTGGCCCATCAGACTAGGTCGGAATGGCAGCTTACAGCAGTTCATGTACCGCCCAACCGCCCCGCCCCCGCCCCAGCCACTAGCTGACATGCTTCGCTTCGCAGTGCTCCCGCGCACGGACGAGCTGGCACCCGCTCCGCGAACCGGCGAGCCAGTTACGCGCAAAGGCTTTATCGCTGCCAGCGAAGGCGGATTCGTGCACGGCCGCGAGCCGGCGATTTGCACGGTCGCTGGCGCGGTGCTTGGAGTTGGGTGGTGATGTGGAGGACGACGCGAGTTTCGTGTAGAGGGAGTGGTGTGGTGAGCAGCAGGTGTGGTAATGGAGGATTTGCCGAGGTTACGCCGGAGAACATGGAGCCTCGATCGCGATCGTTCCCGTCGCGCCACCACGCTCATCCGCTGTATGCGGGACATGTACCGCAGACATAAGAGGGAGTATCTATGAGTGTAGAGGGCGTGAGCTGTTGTGGCGCAAGCTCTGGCGTCAGCAACATGCCTCGACGGGCCATCACATGCCGGCGTCACCACGGGGTCAACCCTGTGTTGAGTATTATACTTGGCCGTCACCTCGCAGGCATTGCACACTCGGCGGACCTCGGTGTCCTCTCGGCCACGTCGTGCCGAATGCTACATCGTTCACCTCTCCGCCTTCTCTCCGCACCAGATACGGACATCTGCTGTCGGTGGCGTTCTCCCACCCTTCCAGGTATCCGAGGGGTTAAGCACCACTCAAGCTCCGTTTCGGGCCTAGTAGTGCAATACAATCATGGGGTAACATCGTTTCACATGGTATTCCGCCGATGACCAGACAGAGTTGTCGCTGGTGCTGGCCAAGTCCGAAAGCCAATCACCGGGCCTTCCCCATCCCGCCGCTCCGCTCACGCCCGCAGACCGCCAGCCGAATGCCGCTGGCCGTGGACCACGGGCCTCGCCACCAAATCCGGGGCCTTGAACACCTCACACTTGCGCACACACCCTGCACAACCACACTAGCCCATGTGGCATCCCGGGAGTTCCACTTTTCTTCTCCCAGGGCTGTTGAAGTTACGACATGGCATGGGTTTCGGGCGGCGCGGGCGCGGTGACTACCGACGTACGCACGAGCTGACGTGTGGCATGGCGGCGTGGGCGGCATGGGCGGTAGGCCCTGCGTCGGTGGCGGTGGCGGTCGCCTTGGGTGTCAGCGAGGCGGGCTCCTGCACTCCTGCATGTCCTGGCTGGACGGCCAACCATAAATTTAACAGCAGCGCGGGCCGAGGAACCCAGCCAGACCAGAGATCCAGTCACTTTTGCCAGCGTGAGAGTGAGCCTGGCGCCTGAATCAAGCGAATCGTGCGAACAGACATGTATGGTCATGACCATGGCCACCACCATCCGCCAAATTCGGGCAGGGGTCAATCGGACGGGACGGACTCTGGGTCGGGCAGACGCCACACGTCCCGCATATCGGGCCCGCAATTCAGGTGCATGCGCCTTCTACTTCTTCTCGGCTGCTGTGGTGAGCCGAGGTTGCAGTGGGTGTGGTGAGTAGGTATGTGCGACGAGGATGCGAGGTGGATGGTTGTGAGCAGGAGAGATGGATGCTGGATGCTGGTACACATTTGCCGGAGTGGATCTGTAACACCATTCACCCGCACCCTGCTATGCATAGCGTTGTGGCGCGCTATGAGAATGAAAGAGAATGAAATGAGGGGTGGGGGACACGAGGGGGGCCAAGATATGCAGGAGCGGCGGCGGCAGGCACCGAGGGAGGAGGCAGAGCCAAGATTACAACTTTCCTGACCTTCCTGAGCTTATCCTGAGTCTGTATTGCGCGGGAACTTTGATGGCTCATGCTCATCCGGCCGTCGTCGCCAGGTCGCTGCAGGTGGCAGGTGGCAGGTGGCAGGTGGCCAGGTGGCCAGGTGGCTCAAACTGATCAAGCTTCGGCTTCTGGCCTGGCCACCTCGTTGCGCTACCGTTGCCCCGGGTCGCCTTCCGTGCTCTCCGCTGTCGTCTATCCCCGTCTCTCTCTTCTTCCATCTCTTCCATCTCATCTCCATCTCCAACTCTATATCCCTTCTCTCCTCGTTCTCGCCTTCGTTTCGGCCTCGCTCGCCACCAACGGCTTCGACAGCTCTCGCCCTCGCGGCAGAAAAATCGCGCTAGGCCCCCTCCCTCCTCCCCTCGCCCTCGCCCTCGCCCTCGCCCTCCACCCTCTCTAACCCACCTCGTTCCTTCACCCTTTCTACCACGGCCGTGCGTGCGACACCCCTGCCGCAGTAGCATTCCTGCACTCTTCGGTGAGTCCGTGCCGTCTGTGCGAGTGGTTCTCCATGATGGTTGTTGGGTGTTGGGTGTATGAGCTCGCGTGTACGAGTCTTGGCGTGACAGGACGATCCGCCGGGCTCTGCACATGCCAGTGATCCCGGGCCAATCAATCCGGGCAGATCACCCTCGGGCAGATCTCGCCTCGGGGAGATGGACGGCGGGCGGCAGGCGGATCTCTGATCGCTGTATCGCCGTATCGCCGTCCTCGCCCATGCTGCCCACACCGCCATGATCTGCATGCGTGTGTGTGTGTGTGTATGTGGATTCGCGGATCGCGGAAGGCATGGAAGGTGGCGAATGTGCAGAGTGCCCCCGAGCTGCCGCCGGAAGTGTGTGGAGACGGGATCAGCAGCTTCTCGAAGCTGGGGCGATGGGGCGACCGAAGAGATTGCCTGTCCGTGTACATGTCGCGCACGCCGAACGAACGCGGTGCTCCCCGCCCGAAATTCTGGGAGGAGTGCGTACGGCGTAGTGCGTATGCAGCGGGCTGAGCGGGGTGGAGAGACACATGGCCGCGGGCACACTAGCGGCGGCGGGCGCCGGGCGTGGGCGGCAGGTCCAAGGCCTTACTTGGACAAGCACCGAAGGGAGAGGCGGAAGCATATTTTTGCTGCCCGCCTCGAGTCTTGGGTTGGGCCGCGCACCGGCAAGCACACCTGGGGCCAGCATGGAAAGGGCAGGGAGTGCAACGTAACTTGTTCCCTGCGCAGCTCGATGCTCCGAGAACAGTCTCGTCACTGCATCGGATAGGGATGGGCAGCACGGGTGGGAGGGCAGTGGATCCGTGGAGGTGGATCAGTGAGGATCAAGAGGCCAAGAGGCGCGAGTTGCACGAGTGGGCGCGATTAGCATCGAGGTGCACACGTGTTGCGCGCTTGAAGTGTATCTGAGCAAGGTTTGCAACGACCACAGAGCGCGACGAGAGCGAGGAGGGGGGCCTTGATGGGCCTTAGACTGGGTGATGGGCATGATGGGGGCTTGGTGTGGGGGTGACGAATGAACACCCTGAGGCACTTGTGATCCTGGAGGCACGGCCGGTGACCATGGTGACTCTTGGCTCCTCCCCGAGCAAGCCGAGCAGTGCGAGCGGACCAGATGATGCTGAGAATGGCAACCGCCGTCGACGAGATCCAAAGCTTTGCTCAGAGCGCCTCAAGAGATCACTCGGTCCTGCGATCCTGCACTTGCTGCAAAGGATCCTTTTGTCGGTCCGCACTGGTCATCGTTGCTCGCTCCCAACTGGCATCCACTCGGCCTCATCCTCCTTTCGCTTTCTCTTCGCTCCTTCTTTCTCTTTTTCTCTCTCTCTTTATCTTTCTCTCTATCTCTCGCTCGTGCTTGCTCCCCTCCTCCTCTCCTCTCATCTACGCTCCTTCAACATTTACTCTAACACATAGCTTTCACAACAACCACCACTACCACCGCCACCCCCCCCCACCCCGACCCCGGCCACGCGCCGCCCTCGTCCACCATGTCGAGCTCACACATCCTGCCGGACGGCACTCTCAACATGTCGGACCCTCTCGTCCAAGGTGAGTAGATACGCCGCAAACCTTCCCTCCCCTCGGTGCTAACGTCAACAGCAAACGAGAAGTTGGCCCAGTACTTCATGCAGGGAGCTGGCAACCCCGTCCCAATCAACCCCCTCCCCGGCGTTATCGTCGCCTCCATTCTCGTCTCCATCCTTGGATCATATGCCACCCTCCTCGTTCTGGGCCGCCGCACTTCTCCCCGAGGTATGCGCAACCTCGCCCTCCTTCTCCTTGCCGCCGTTTGCTTCGCCGCCGTTGCCGTCTGGGGCATGCACTTCGTCTCCATGATCTCCATTCGTCTCAACGCGACTCGAGGCCTTCCCGCAGTTGGTTTAGGCGGAAGCGGCATGGAGGTTGTGTGGTACATCACCGTGAGTGTCCCCGTGATAGCCGTTGTGATGGCCGTCAACGCCCCCGCGCCGCCTTCCCCGCCTTTATTCCGCAGGCGATCATATTTCTGACGCTGACCCCCAGTTCTCTCCAGGCATGACTGTACTATCACTCTTCGTCCCCCTCGTCGCAACAGCCTTCGCCTTCTGGTTCCTCGCATCCGAGGCCGAGTTCAGCTACTGGCGTGGTTCGGTCTCTGGTGTCATTGTTGGCCTAACCAGTGAGTCACCACACCACACACTTTTGCCGCCACCACCACCTTCTAACATTCCTCAGTTGGTCTCATGCACTACTCGGCTGCGTTCAAGCTTCCTTACCTCGCTCCAGAGTACAAGGCCGTCACCGTCGTCTTCGCCCTCATCCTTGCGTGTATCGCTGCTACCGTTGCCCTCGCTCTTTTCTTCCGTCTGCGTGAGCAGTGGCAGGACTCGTTCTGGAAGCGCTGCGTCTGTGCCGTCGCCCTTGCGACTGCCGTCTGCGGCATGCACTACCTCGGTCTCGGAGGCGCCCGCTACTTTGTCAAGCAGGACATTGCTCTAGAGGACAAGGGCGCCATCCTCAACTCGCCTACTCGTGGCCCCTGGGTTCTTCTCTCTGGCAAGTCTCAGGCGAACCGTCTCACCATCGCCATTGGCGTCATGTGCGCGTGCATTATTGCGCTTTCTGCAGCCATTGCCATCTTCGACTACCTCATTCGTCGTGACATTCGTAACAAGGCCCGTCACATTGTCGTCGCCAGCGCTGCCTTCGACCCCACCGGCAAGCTTCTTGTGCGCCACGACGGAACCATCCCCATGCAGATTATTCAGACGGACGCCGACCTCTCGCGCGTCCTGAACGAGTTGGACCCCCGTCGTCCCACTTTCCAGTGGCTCTACCAGCTCTCCTTCAACTGGCAGATTATCACTCCCTTTGTGCCTCGCATCCTGCGCGAGATTGCCAGCCGTGGCAAGAAGACCGAGGCCCCGCCTCCGCCCACCTCGGACCGCAGCATGAATCGCTCGATCTGGGAGCAGCTTCTTTTCCGCTCGCGTTTCGTCGAGGCCTGTGTCCTCCTTGCGCACCAGCTCGACCTCTCCATCGAGTCGCTCGGCGTCATGTTCGACCGCGTCCTCACTACCGGCACTCGCCAGCAGAACCCCGCCGAGAAGGCCCTCAATGACGAGCAGAACCTCAAGGGCGACGACGAGAGCTCGATTCACGGCATCACCGTTCAGCTGACCGCGTCGGAGGGCGTCATGCTCTTCATTGTCCGCACCATCGGCCACGGCACTCCGGCAGCGCACGACGTCCCGAACGCTGAGAAACTGCCCGGTGTGTCGACCGACAACATTGACTCGTACCTCGCTCGCGGCTACCGTCTCACCGAAACCCGCTTCTTCTCCAAGACCCTCGCCGACAACATGGGCGTCTCGAAGCAGGAGATGGATGTCTTCCTGTCTGCCTGCAAGACCTACGCCAAGCGTGGCACTCGCCCGGTCGTCCAGTCTGGCGGCGCTTACCTTGGTCTCTTTGGCGTCCGCCCAGCCTCGGACAATGGTCTCGACGTTCTCGTGTACAACTTTGCTCGTCACCAGATTCCTGCTTACCGCCTGCCCGACGTTGGCTACCCACTCTCGCCTAGCATGAGCGCCTTCATTCGCGACTGTGCCAATCTGTCCATGGCGGAGGTGCTACAGAGGTGCAACGATGCTGTCCAGGACGCTGAGAACTCGGACAACGACTCGACGTTGTCTCTGGACGAGACACTGTACGAGTTCCAGGCTGCCATTGCAGTAGCTGTCGAGGCTCTCACCACGGCGCTGCGCTGCTGGCCCGACCTTCCGGTTACCGCCCGTCTCTCGCCCGAAATTCTTGACCTGCCTACGTCGGACACGGACGACAAGCTGCCTGCTCAGATGATCATGTTTGAGGTTGTCCTGGGTGCTCCCGAGGCCCGCATTACTCCTGTGCAGTCTCGCGCATCCGGTGTTCAGGCTCCTGGTGTTCGCTCGGGCCGCCACGACTCTGACAAGCCCCCTCCCCCCTTCGTTTACACTCCTTACAACCTCTTCACGAAATCGCAGACCATGCTCATGCGCGCTCGTGGGCGCGCGGACTTTAACCGAGCCACCCAAGCTGACCTGGGGCGGTTGTACCCCTTCGTAGCCAACGATGTCGAGGCCGAGCTGCGCGAGGCTGAGGACAAGAAGTTCCGTCCCAGCGGCCGCTTCAACTCTCGCATGTCCAAGATTACCAAGGGTCTTTCGGTTGACACGTCTGGCCGTGCTCCCTCGTTCCGCGAGGGTGCGCACGAGATGCAGACACCAGTCTCACCAACATCTGAACTCGATGGCGAGTCTTCTTCTCCGGGCGGCAGCGCTAGCATCACGACGCTTATGGGAGCAGCTGTTCTACCCGCCGGTGTTCGCAAGGTCGGCGACGGATACGTGCGCAAGGCAAACTCGGTCAAGACGGACCGGTTCGAGGAGGAGGACGATGTGCGGTCGCAGCCCACGACTGATACACCGGGCCCGCCCGTGTACTCGGAGATCCGTGTCAAGACTGAAGGGTGGTACTCGCGCTCGATGCGGACAATGGAGCGCAACGACCGCGGCGGGTTGCTCAACGGCGTTGACTTGAGCGAGTAGAGGCAGGGCTAGAGTCGTGTGCAGCCAGGGGTGCAGCACACTTGGCCCCCCGTGTATTCAGTAGGCTTCTTCTTTCTGGGTAGTCTCTGGTGTGAACGAGACTTGGCAGCGTGCAGACTATAGTATTAATCCCGTATTTCAGCTCTACGCGCGAGCTCTTGTTCCACATAGCGCTTGATGTATACACTTTGTAATACCGGGAAGTGCGGGGACGAGGAGTGGAAGCGACGAGCACGGGGACTGGGTAGGGAGGTGAGCCGAGCAAGTAGCCAGGGTGATGACGAGAAGACAATCATCATGGTGGATCACAAATGGTGGACCCAAGAAGCAGCAAACTCTAACGACATTCCCGTGCGGGAATGTATACGGCACGAGGTAGTAACCACCCCCGTGTGCCTGTACCCCGGGCGCATTGGATGGGGGGTCTTTCGGCATGTCCTTCTGTGACAGCAACGGGACAATGGCGTGGCGTGAGAGCGATGAGCGGGAGGATATTCGGCCGTGACGAGTGAAGTGGGTGCGACGCGCTCTGCACTGTGCTCTGAAGCTGTAGCGCTATCCCGTCAACTCTTACTGAGCCGGCCCACAGCGCTGTTCACCTCGTGGGGTGCATACCGCTGTGGCTGGCCCAACTGCGCTTTGGGTGGGAAATCGGTGATATGCGTCGATTTGCCGAAAGCAGTGCTGTTCAGCTGGGCGGGTGGCAGGAGCCGGGGAGAGCCGTTCGTACGACTAATAGTTGGGCGCGAGCATGGCCAACAGTTGGACAGCGCTGTGAGCGTGCACTGATGACCTGAGATGCACTAGCATTGTTCATGCCCTTGGCTCTCTCTTCCTCTGCTTCCAACCACATAATCTCCCCACCTCCCCGCGCAGGTCCAACTTGCCAACTGCCATCCTCACGATGCACGCCCATGCAACAATCCATGATACAATATTGATACTATGGCCGGTGACCCGTGCCTGCCACTGGCGAGGGCGCTGTGCTCGCTTCTTGCAAGTGCACGGCGACAACCCGCTCATCCGTCGTCCCATCACATTACGCATCCCCCAGCTTTTCCCGGATGCGCTGCACAATGTCGAGATACGCGGTCGTCGCCGGACTGTCGGGATATGCGTCGAGGAAGCTCTCGCCCTGGTCGCAGAGCATGCCGATGCGCGGGTCGAGCGGCACCTTTCCCAGTACTTCGATGCCGAGCTCGGCGCCCATGGCGTCTGCGCCGCCCGTGGTCGCGGCAAAAATGTCGCTCTCATTCTTGCACTTGGGGCACACAAATCCGGACATGTTCTCCACGAGCCCGAGCACCGGCAGTCCGACTTTGCGGCAGAAGTCGAGCTCCTTGCGCACATCTTGCAGCGCGACCTCCTGCGGCGTTGTGACAAGCACAGCGCCGTCCACCCCGCTCTCAGCGAGGTACTGCACGACGGAGAGGTGCTCGTCGCTCGTGCCCGGCGGCGTGTCGACGACGAGGTAGTCGAGATCGCCCCACACCACGTCCTTGAGGAACTGCTTGATGAGGCCGTTCTTGCGCGGCCCGCGCCAGATGACCGCGTCGGCGCGCGAGGGCAGCAGGAACCCGATGGACATGACGGCAAGGTTGTCGGTCGCGTACGCCGGCGACCAGCCCTCGGCGGACGTGTGGATCGTCGCCTTCTCCAGCCCCGTCAGGAGGGGGATCGAGGGCCCGCAGATGTCCACATCCATCAGGCCCGTTTGGAGCTCCTCGTCCGCCGCGAGCGCCCAGCCCAGCGCTGCTGTGAACGTGCTCTTGCCAACGCCGCCCTTGCCGCTGAGAACGAGGATCTTGCGGCGCACGCCAGACATTCGTGCCCGGATGGCAGGCAGGTCGGGGTCTGGCCCTTTCGGGCCCTCCGCGCACACGGACTGGTTCGGGCAGCCGTCACATGCGTCCGCTCTGCCTGCTTGTTCGGATGAAGGTCCCTGGGAGGATCAGACGTGTACGAAAGAGAAAGCAAGAGGTGGAAAGTGCACGAGGGCCGTAGAGAAACAGACGAGGTAGCGGTGGGAGGGGGAGGGGAAGGGGCAGGGAGGTTTCCAGCTTGGGTCGGGAGAGTAGGTTATGGAGTCTGTCGTAGAGGGACACTCACTGGGCAGTGCTCCGGTGCATCTTCGGGAATATCCTCACTCGCCGCGCCATTTGAGCCGTTCATCGAGCCGTTCGTTGTCCCATTTGTCCCGATTGTGCCACTGACAGCTCCATTCGCGCTAGCGCCATTGGCGTTTGCTGTTCCGTTTGCGCCAGGCCCCTTCACGCCGGTGCCGTTTGGCCGTTCCCCAATCGCTACCAACGGTGTCGCGCCGTTTGGTGACATGTTTGTGAGAGTGGTTGAACAGAGATGGATGGAGGAAGTCGAAGAGTGGCGACCGAGGAGTCGGACATCTCACCCGAAATCCATGCTGACTGATCGGCAACAGAGGGGCTGGAGTCACGTGAGCACTGTTTTGAGTACGAATCATTGCGTTTCAGGCCGCTCGTCTTGGCTGACTTGGTCAATCGCCCATGCATAGTATCGCGTGGCACCTTGGCCGTCCATCTCAAGGATGTTAACCGCGAGGACTGCAGGGCATCGGATGGGAGACCGAGGGCTTGAAGGGGATGTAACCCATAACTAGTGGCAGTATCTCCCGACGCAGAGACTTCTAAATCTTGAATGCGGAACTCCCTCGCTCCGGCTCCAACGCTCCTCCCCCCAATTGCCTAAGATATGCAAACCTAACATCTACCGACACTATTAGGCTCTATCATCACCAGCGGCGGGCTGTGCCGCCGCGCGGAGCACCGCCGCCGCGAGGGGGCGCCCCCTGTCCGCGGCGCCAGACGCCGGGCTTCTCCTCGGCGGGCGCTGGTGAGCCGGGCGACCCAGGGGTGGCGGGGGAGCCGACGCGGGGCGACCCGCCAGGCGACCCGTTCGCGGCAACGGGGGGCGCGCCGCCCTGGCGAGCCGCCGCCTCCTTCGCGGCCGCGCGCTCACGCCAGCCGCCACCGCCAGCGGCAGCACCGCCGCGCGCGGCAAAGATGGGCGGGCGGGTGCCAGCGCTTGCCGCGGCCGGCGCAGCGGCAGGAGTTGGGCGGGCGAAGCCACCAGCAGAACGCTCGCGACGGCGCGCCTCGGCCTCCTCCTCACGCTGGAGACGGAGACGGAGGAGCTCGGCATCGTGCTCGCGCTCCTTCTCGCGCCGCGCACGCTCCTCCGCCCGCTTGGCCTCCTGCTCCATTCTCCTCGCCTCGATCTCGGCCTTGGCCTTGGCCTCCTGCGCCTCGCGCTCCTTGATGAGGCGCTCCTCCTCCTCAGCCTTGCGCCGGGCCTCCTCCTCGGCCGCGCGCTCCGCCGCTTCCTGGGCTGCACGGCGCTCCTTCTCCGCCCTGTGGCGAGCAAGAACCTCGGCAGCATACCGCTTCTTCTCCTCGGCGATCTTGGCAGCGGCAGCCTTGCGTGCAGCCTCGAACTCTCTCTCCTGCTGAGACTCGACAGCACGGCGCGCGACCAGGTAGTCAGGCATCATGCGGCCAAGACGGCCCTTGAGCTCGCGCATGGCAGCCTGCTGAGCGATGGCAGCCTCACGAGCCGCCTTGTTTGCGCGGTCGTGCGCCGCACGGTCGTCGATCTTCTGACGCTCGTAGTCGGCAGCGAGAAGAGGGCGCTCCTGCTTGCGGTACGCGCGCTCGAGGTGATCCATCCGCTTGCCGATGATACGCACGCGCTCAGTGAGCTCGCGCTTCTCCTTGGCGATGTGCTCGACCTGCATGGCGACAATCTTCGAAGTGTCGAGCTCCTCGTCCTTCATCGTCGAGATGTCGACCTTGAGGTGACCCTTCTGGGCAAGCTGCTCGGCCAGCTTGCGTGCCTCCTCGCGGCGCGTCGCCTCCATCTGGCGCTGGAGACGGTCCATGTCAGCCTGGCGGGCAGCCTCCTTCTCGCGGCGAGCAGTCTCCTCGGCGAGCTGCTTGGCCCGCTCAGCCTTGGCAGTCGACTCCTCACGCTCGCGACGGAGGCTGGCCTCCTCCATAAGCTCGCGGCGCTTCTGCACGATAAGACGGCGGTGCTCGGTGCGCTTGCGCTCCTCCTCGGCGTCGGCGATCGCCGCAGCGTACGCCTCCTGGCGGGTGACCGAGGGCACCGGGTTCAGGTAGTTGAGTGCAGTGTTGAGGTAAAGGGCAAGGTTTGAGAGACGGTGCAAGTCGGCCCCAGGGGTGGCGAAGTTTACGGTCTTGGCGACGTGGTCAACGGTAGCGTTGATGTCACCACGACGCGAGGCGGTCATGAGGAACTTCTCAAGGGCAGGCATGTCGGTCGCCCAGGGCCCGTTGTCAAAGGCCTTGACAAGCGAGAGAATATGCGAGAGCGAGACAGTCTCGTAGACATGCGAGAGCTCCTGGATGAGGCGCGAGAGCACAACGTCACGGAGAGCGGGGAGATAGGCAGCGTAGTCAGTCGAGAGACCAGCGACAATAGGAGCGAGCTGCTTGCAGGCCTTGAGGGGCTGGAAGTCGGTCTCGATGATGTTGTACAGCTGGCGGACCTCGGCGGGAACACGCTTGAGGTGTTTGGCGGCAGCATCGCGAACAAGCGCCTCACGCGTGGGCATCTTAGGAAGATTGAGGAGGGCAATAAGGCGCTGCTTGGTCTCAACGTCGCCAAGGGGCACGGAGAGGGCCGAGAGGAGAACAGCAGCGGGGGCATTCTCCTTGACGCTGCCAGCGCGCTCGGCGTACTGGTAGTAGCGGCTCCAAGCGGCAGCGTGGAAGACGGCGACCTGCTTGCCACCCTCGGCGTTGAAGATCTGGGTGAGCTTCTCGTAGTAGTTGGCCATCATGGAAGGCTTGGCGCCCTTCTTGCCGGCGACGAGGTCGTGCACATCCTGGATGGAGCGGAAGGCCTCCTGCCAGAGCTCGAGCTCAACGGCAGTCTCGAGCTGAAGGAAGCGCGTGTCGAGGTGGCGCGAGAGAGTCTCGGGGTCGGCAAGGTTGATCGAGTGAGCCTGGTGCGAGTACTTGGTCGCGTTCTGGAGGTCCTTGCGAAGGCGCTGCTCGCAGAGGCGTCGGAAGTCGCTCTTGCGCTGGTGCTGCTTGCAGAATGCAAACGCGCGGTTGGCAATCTGCTGGTAGACGAGCTCCAGACGGTCATTGCCCTTGGCAATATCGAGCGAGACATCGTACGCATCATACGTGAACTTCTGGGCTGGGTGGACAAGGCGGCGCTCGATACGCTCGCGGTCACCCGCGCTCTCAAGGAACGAGTCGTAGAGCATCGTCACGGGCTGGAGGCGCAGGTCGTCGTCCTGCGCTTCGACCGGGGCGGCGCCAAGGGCAGCGACCTCCTTCTCGGCCTTCTCCATCGCGGCGGTGAGGCGCGCCTCGGCCTTGTCGATGAAGTGCAGGAGCACCTTCTCGATCGAGCCAACATTGATGTTCTGCGCAGTGTTCTTGTACTGAACGAGCACCTCACGCGCGTCGCTCTTGCGCTGCAGTGCAACACAGAGGTCAAGGTACTTGATGACAATGGGCTCGAGTGTGGGGATCGGCGCACTTCTGAAGCGACGACTAGATGTCAGACATGGTAAGAACAAAAGACGCACGCAAGGAAGACCTCAGAGAGGAATTCGAAGGCCTGAGCCTGCGACTGAGGAGTGTTGAGGGCAAGAAGCTCCTCAGCACGCTACTGTTAGTCCTGTGCATACAATCGACCTACCCTCAACGCGTTCTCGGGCTTGACATAGACGGGCGGCATGATGCGCGGTTGTAGGTGATAGGGTGAGGCCGGACAGAGATGTGTGACCGGATTTTTGCGTTTTGAAGATTGAGCAGACTACTTCTTCCTCTCTGCCAGCGGTGACGCGTAACGGCAGTGATTTATCGAGCGTAGTCGCCTAAGGATAATAGGATGGAGAGGAGGGGAGGGGAGGTGTTGAGGACAAGGAGGCGAGCGGCGAGCTCGTTGTGCGCCTTGGTGCCAGCCAAGCTGCCACTCGAGCAGCGTCGAAAAGTGAGAGGGGGGCTGAGTGTGATAATGCCGAAACACCGGCCACGTGGGAGGGTGTGGCGATGAAGGCTGGTAGGCTGGGCGGGGCTGGGGGCTGCGGGGATGTCGGGCGCAGTCGTCCGCGGTCTAGCCGGATGGATGGGCTGTGGGGTGGGGGGAAGGCATGCTGGCCGCAGGTGGATGGTGACGCCACCATATCCATCCAGACATCACTCGATCTCTCGATCTCTCGACCTCGTCTCTCCGCCTCTCTCATCACAGATCCCTCCCAAGGTATCTCCAGCTCTTCATCTTCCCAGCTGCCCATCTGCCCATCTGCCCATCTCCCCATCTATTTCTTCCATTGCAAGCCGCAACCTAGCCAGTAACTCTCTCCCATAGCCAGTCGAGGCCATGGCGCAGTCTCTCCAGCACTTGTAGGTGCACCCTCCATCGACCCAGCACTGACTCTCAGCGGCCGTGGAGGTGAGCCTCTTCTGACTCGATCTACATCGCATCCAGCTAACAGTAGCCCTCCGGGTGGCCAAAAACTACACTAAGGGGTACAGCGACACCCAAGTGAGCTGATGCAGTGAGAACATGCAGCTAACCGCAGACCAAAGTGCGCGATGCGACGTCGAACGACCCATGGGGACCCTCAGGAACGCAGATGAATGAAATCGCCCAGCTCACATACAACCAGTGCGCAAGCCGGCCGGAGCTCAACTAATAGCAGGGGTGACTTTGTCGAGATCATGGAGATGCTGGACAAGCGTCTCAACGACAAAGGCAAGAACTGGCGACATGTGTTCAAGGTAGGTTGCACCCCCTGGGGCTTCAGGCTCCAGCCACCGCCGCCTGGGGCTCGGGCTCTTCGTCATGGGTGTCATCGAGTCGGCCGGGCGCTCGTGTGACGACATGCTGACACTCAGGCGCTCACAGTCCTTGACTACTGCCTGCACGCTGGCTCCGAGAACGTCGTCGTGTACTTCAAAGACAACCTGTACATTGTTAAGACGCTCAAGGAGTTTGTCTATGTCGATGACCAGGGCAAGGACGTGGGCCACAATGTCCGCCAAAAGGCCAAGGACATCACGAACCTGCTGCAGGATGAGGAGCGACTGCGCACGGAGAGGCGGCAGAGAGGTGCCATGCGTGATCGCATGCTGGGCAACATCGCAGACAGCGGTCTGCAGGGCGAGGATGACTTTGGTGACCGACGCAACGGTAACGCCCCGCGGCGACCGCGGCCGGCCAACTATCGCGCACCATCGCGAGACGAGGACGAGGAGCTCCAGCGGGCGCTCCAGGAGAGCATGGACACGAGCCGTGAGGAGGACAGGAGACGCTCGCAACGGGTCAAGGAGGAAGACGATCTGCAGAAGGCGATACGACTGTCTGAGGAGGAAGAGGCGCGCAAGAAGCGAGAAGCCGAGGAGGCTAACCAGCGCGCCTTAATGGACGACAACTTCCAGCTTGAGTCGAACAACCAGTACTCTCAACAGAATCAGAACCAGCAGGGCATGGGAATGATGAACACCGGCTTCCCACTCGTTGACACGAGCACCGGTTGGCCGGGCCAGCAGCAACCCCTCCAGCCCCAGTTCACGTCCTACAACGTAAGGTAATCGCTGTGGCAGCGCTGACCTCAGCCTTTCTATGCGCAGATGCTCGCTCAGCAGCAACAGCAGCAGGCGCAGCAGCAGCAACAACAGCAGATGATGCAGCAGCAGCAGATGCTGGAACAGCAGCGCCAGCAGGAGGAGTATATGCGGCAGCAAATGATGATGCAGCAACAGCAAAGCCTCATCCCGCAGCACACAAGCGTGGGCTCGAACAATCCATTCGCGCCGCGCCCACCTCAGCAGAGCCTGCTTGACCAGGGTACCAGCAACCAGAGCCAGAACAACAACAACAACAACAACAACAACTCCTTGTTCTCCAACTCGTTCTTGTCTCCTTCCAACCCACAGCAAAACCAGCCCACCTCTCCCATTCAATCGCCCATCTCCCCATCGCCGGCATCTCCCGCAAAGCCCGCATGGCAGCCGGCCGCAAAGAAGGACGACGGGCAGCACGCGCACCTTGCTAACCTCATTGGCGCGGGTCGTGAGGATGGCATTGACACGTTCGGCAACGTCGGCAACCTTCGTGAGTTCACCGCGAGAGGCCACCTTCGCTTCGGGAGAGGGCGAAGCGAATGTGCCCTCCCATATTTCGTTCCTTCAGCATTTCTCTGACGCCAGGTTTCGGCGCCAATAACCCGTTCGGCGGGGTCGGCAGCCAGCCGACTGGGTTTGGGGGGCAGCAGGGCTTCGGGGGTCAACAGAACTTTGGGGGTCAGCAGGGCTTTGGCGGCCAACAGCAGCAGAAGCAGAACAACGATCAGCCTTTCTTCCAGATCTGAGTTGCGAGTTTGACTGTGGTGTAGGCACGTTGCAAGTCAGCAAGTCATGCGGATGGCATTACCGAGGGTACCCAGACGCCTTTCTAGACGGGATTTTGTAGTTGTCGGTTGATTATGCATGGTCCGTTCTGCGATGCTTTCTTACACGGTTCAATGGCAGATGCAGGGTCCAAGATGGTTGACCTCCACTTTCGCGTGCGTCATAAATTGCACAACATTCTGAGACTCTCCAACTGCGCTTTTACCCATCACCTGTCACTCCCCGCGCCCGACAGCGGATGTCCTTTCTCTCGCGCCTCAATATCCGCGCAGCCGTCTCCTCACTCTCTTCAACTATGGCCCGCCCCACTCGTGCGGCAGCAGCCGCTGCGGCAGCCAAGCGAGCCCGCTCCTCCTCCCTCTCCGCCACGGACGCGGAGTCAACCCCTCCCCCTCCGAAGAAGGCAGCTAAGAAAGCAGCCACCTCGAAGGCCTCAGCCGCCTCATCCAAGTCTCTAACCAAGACCACGCCGTCCCGCAAGTCCATCGCCAAGTTCCCCCCGGCTGGCCTTGAAGCGCCGTACCCCGCGCGCCTCGGTCTCCCGGTCTTTGTCTCCGCCTCCGCCGCTCCTCTTGTGACGCCTCCCGGCGCCTTCGCGCCGCAGGTGAACGGCGGTCTTCTCAGCGCGGTTGATGCCGCCGCACGCCCCCTCTTGATCGGCGCGCACGTCAGTATGGCTGGCGGGCCCGCGACAGCTCTTCTCCGTTCAGCCAAGCTTGGCGCGAACGGCCTCGCGCTCTTCGTCAAGGGCCACCGTACGTGGAAATCCAAGCCGATGGAGGAGGAGGCGATCGAGAAGTTCCGCGAGATCATAAAGCCTGAGGCGGAGGGCGGTGAGTTGTCCTAACTTACAACGCTCATGACAGGCATGGGGTATGGGCCTGAGAGCATCCTTGTGCACGGCAACTATCTGATCAACCTTGGGTGAGCTTGAACTGACATGCTGAGACTGATGGCAGGAACCCCGACGAGTGCGTAGGATGAGTTCCTGTCACCAGCCGAGTTTGAGATGACTGACCGCAGGTCCAAGCGGAACGTTGCGTACGAGTGCTTCCGCGACGACCTGGAGCGGTGCCACAAGCTCGGGATCAAGTTATACAACTGGCATCCTGGGAGCACTGTCGGCGCTTGTAGCAAGGAGGAGTCGTTTGCGCTCGTTGCAAAGGCAATAAATCGCGTGCATAAGGAGGTGCCCGAGGTCATCACAGTCATTGAAAACATGGTAAACTCCGCTTCCGACGCTTCGCGCTGACCCCAGGCGAACGCAGGATCAAATATCTTGGGTACAGCCTTCGCTGACCTGGCATCCATGATCGCACTGGTCGAGGACAAATCCCGTGTCCGCGTCTGCCTCGATACTTGCCACACCTTCGCGGCAGGATACGACCTGCGCACGCCCGAGACCTACGCTGCCACCATGGATGACTTTGACAAAATAGTCGGATTTCAGTACTTGGCCGGCATCCATCTGAACGACTCGAAGGCACCCCTCGGCGGCAACCGCGACTTGCACGAGAATATTGGGTTGGGTGAGATTGGGCTCACAGGGTTCCGAGAACTGGTTCGAGACCCACGCATGGCTGGCATACCCATGGTCCTGGAAACGCCCAGTGGCCCAGAAGACGGGGTCATGTCTGAGATTTGGGCGAAGGAGGTCGCGCTCTTCTACGAGATTCAGGGGGTGAGCGACGGCGAGTGGGAGAGCAAGAAGGTGGAGATCGAGACGCGTTGGCGCAAGGAAAGGGACGCGATCTCTCCGCCCAAAGCCAAGCCCGCGAAGAAGACGCCGAGCAAGGCAAAGGGCAGGAGCAAGAAGAAGGAGAGCGAGAGTGAGGCGGAGGACTCGGAGTAGGCACAAGGTGTAGCATACATGCATGGACGGCTGGGAAGTGGGGCGGACGCGCGGGCATCGCCGCCACGAGAACGTTCTGAGAGTGATATCGATGTGGCACGCAGTGGGATACTGCGCATCAAGCTGCATCAAGCTGCACAGCCTCATGCCGGATGTCGTCAAGCTTAAGCTGTTCACGCCAGCAGGCAAGCGGGCAGGGAGGCACGACTTGGCATTAGCATGCTCACGCGACACAGCATCTGAGACAATTCCCAAGACCTGCTTAGATGCAGCAACGCAGCTGACCTGGCTTGGGTGGATGGCGGATGCATAGTGCACCATCAGCTATGCATGTCTGCTTCTGTTCGCATGTTCACACTGCGAGGACAAATTCCACCCAAAGGCGATGACGCATTCGCCACCCGTGCCTGGGTCATCGGCACGCCCTCGCGATGCATCGGCGCTGCGAACATGACCACTTTGTCAATCGCTCTACCCACCTCTTCTCATCTTTACTCCCTTCATGCTCATCTAACCCCAACAGCATGCCACCGCCAGAACCGTTCTGGATATGCCACCAGGTACGTTTGGCGCTCTCGTCTCTATGTCCCGCGTCAACCCGCGGCGCGACAACGGAACCTCACAGACCACTCCTTTCCCCATGCCTCAAGCGGCCGTCGGTGTCCAGCCAAGGAACATGCTGATATCAGTGCGGCGCAACGATGCGTCCCCTGACCGTGAGCTTATGAGTCACGGTGCCGAGCTTACCCAGATTGATGGCGTTCCGCAATGTGCCTCATGTCACTCAGAGTTCATCGAGATCGTGCGTTTCCAGTCCCAAATGCGCTATCCTTTACGTCTGCTCTAACTCTGCCAGCTTGACGCCGAGATCAACCCCGACCCCATGCATGAGCTCCCACTGCCGCCACCGGTCCGACCTGGTCGTGTTCCTCCACCCCCCTATCCGCCGCCCGGCAACCGTCCCATCGGGCCTGGCCAGCAGCGACCCCAGCAGGACGACGACGTTGGCGGCGGTCTACTCGGCGGCATACTTGGTCTGTTCGGCGGTGGCGGACCCACCGCTTCCGCCGACATGCCGCAGCCGCCCCGCGGCCCCGGTCAGCAGCGGGGCGGCGGGCGCTCGTTTGAGTGGAACATCGGGAACGGTGCCGTCCGGGTGCAAGGATTTTCGGGCCCAGTGAGGGCTGACACTACGCTGGGACACCCAGCAGCTCATAATCCCTGGGTCGGTGGCTACAACGGTGCGCCCGGTCGCGAAGATCAGGGCCTTGATGCGTATGTCCTTCTCATTTTGTGGAAGCTAACAACAGCTTCTTCCGCGGCTTCGGTGCGCCCTCTCCGGGCGTGCGTGCACGTGGTGGAGGGGCACGACAGCCAGACCACTTTGACGGCGAGGACATCCTGCAGGCCCTCATGCAGATTATCATGGACGAGGGCATGTACCCTTTCCCCGCCGGGACTGGCGGTCAGATGGGCGACTATGTGATGACTGAGCGTGAGTGACCCCGATAACGACATCGCTAACCGCAGGGGGGTTTGATGACATTCTAGAGCGCTTGATGCAGGCTGCAGGTCCACAGGGCCCACTTCCCGCATCACAAGAGACAATCAGAAGTCTTGAGCGCTTCACCTTTGACGAGAAGACGCTTGGTGAGCCGAACTTGTCGCCATGAGCTTACCTCAGCGGCGAGCCAGTACAAGGACTGTCCCGTGTGCATGGACGACTTCAAGGTAGGCGACGCTGCCATGAAGATCCCCTGCGGGCACGAGTTCCACCCGGACTGTCTCACGCCGTGGCTCGAGACGAACGGCAGCTGCCCCGTGTGGTGAGTCAACTGCGGCTGTAAAGGCTGACATTTCAGTCGGCATTCGCTCGTGCCAGGGGAAGGAGAGAGCACACCAGCGACAGGAGCTCAGCAGCCGCCGCACGCTGGTCCCTCCAACCGCAGTTCCCAGCCTCCTCCGCCTTCTGAGCCAATTCCACCCGCTTCCTCCGGCGTTCTGAGTGGCGCGCAGGGCGCGATCACGAGCGTTCTCAACCGGCTCTTCGGACAGGCAGGGACGACTGATCCACCGCCCGCTCCGGCAGATATCCACCGCCCGAGCTCTAGACCGCAAGCGTCGAGCTCTAGTATTCCGCAGGCGTCAGCTGCACAGGCCAACGCAACAGACGACCCGCCCGAGCAGCGCATTGACTTTGACACGCCTATCCGCACCGGCTCGTCCGTTAACCCGAGGCGGCCTCTGCCAGAGTGGGCGCAAATGGCGCGGGGAGGGCCGCGCGCGCGCTACGGTTCACCTCCTCCTGACCTGCCGCCGTCACCGCCCCGCCCGACACGCCAGTCTCCGCCTCTCCCGGCGTCGAGCGGTGGGTCCAGCACCTTTGGGCAGGGTGGTCTTGTGCCTCAAGGCGATCTGTTCGACTCGGATGTCGCCCAGTTCCGTGCAACTCGCGCGGCGTGCGATGTCAAGGAGATTCCCTGGAACGCACCCAACCACCAGCATGTTGGTGTGCGCTATGTGCTTCTCGGGGACGAAACGGAGGTCGACGAGCCGCGCCTGTTCTGCCACGCTCCCGGGTCTAATGCGATCGGCGACTTCGGTCTGCTCCAGCTTCGCCGCGTCGCTGGCCGCGCGGAGGAGGGCCCCATTCGCGAAGGTCGTATGTGCTGTCATGTCGTGGAGCACGGCGTGCCCGGTGAGGCGGCAATGGGGAGAATCATGCGCGAGTGCGGCGGCGTGTCTGACGAGCCCGCGGCGCTGAGCTACTCTGGCGTGAGACCGAGTTCGATCTCTGCGGAAGATGTTGACTAAGTAGGATGAGCCATGCATGGAATCAGCTCTAGCGTACAAATCTATGCAACATGGAGCGATCAACGACACTTTGCGCGCCGCACACCTCCGATCGTCTGACACTCTCGACAAATCCACTTGCACACTCTCACACTCTCCGTCCCGCTCACACTGGATCAACATGCGCGCGCGGCAGCGCCAACTCGCCATGTGCGCGCCGCAGCAACGCTTCTTACCGGCGGCGTGGCACGGCTGGCTAGTGCCCATGCCCACCAAGCAGCATCGACATGCCGGCCGGCAACGCCATGCCGAGGAGTATGAGGCCGGTGCGCGCTGCGTTGTCGAGGCGCGGGGCGTCAATCTCTCTGTGCACCTCGTGGTGCGGGTGGTGGCAGTGGTCGTCCGGCCCCGTCTCGGATATGGGCTGGATGACGGTCGCAACATAAAGGAAGGAGCCGCCCTGGGGTTAGTGGGGAGCCCGAGCAAATGATGTGGTAGAAGGAATCGGAAGCTGCGAGAGAAACGGCCACGACGGGGGGTGTCGGCATCAGGGGCGATCGTTGGCATGAACGGGATATCCCCACGCGCGAAGAGCAGATGCAAAGACGACAGCGAGGAAGAGAGAACGCGGGGCACCTCCGTGACAGAAGCAGACACTCACCGAGAAGAGTAGCACGGCGCCGGTCCACCAACCCAATCCGTGGTCGGCGTTCGCGCCAAACAGCGAGACGAGCATGTACGTCATTAGAGCGCCGGTCGGAGCCGCAAGAGAAAATATGACGAGGCGGCGGCGCACCTGCGCGGGGCTAAGGTGCAGGGAAAGGAGCGTGGTGGTGAGGCCGAGAGCCGAAGGGCCTGAGGTCAGTAACGCTGTTGACAACTTCCGTGATCGCCAGCCTGGGACGAGACGACAGGCTGCCTTGACAGATAGCAGTGAGATTCGTCCTGACAGCTCTGCAGCAGTGTCTCCTGTATAACTCTCCACCGCTCGCCGCAGCCTTCGCAACTCACCCTTGTGCACAAGTACAGCCAAAAACACGACGAAGCCCAGTTGCTTGTTATCCGATAGGCTGCTGGCGCCGAGTGCGATCCCATCCGCGAGTCCATGAATGACGAGCCCAAGTGTCGCGCTCATCCCGTGTGCTGTTGCGTGCGAAGAACACTCCTCCTGCTCCTTCGGAAGCATGGGCGACATGCTGGCGCGCCGTTCCGGCGTCTGGAAATGGTTGTGTGCGTGCTCCTCATCTTCGTCTTCGTGGTGAGGGTGGGTGGGGTGGGGGCAGATGTTCTCCACACTCTGTGTAAGCAACCACTTGGAGGGCTAATTCGCAGTACAGAGGAGTAGAGAGGAGTAGAGAAGAAGATGAAGACTTACAGGAGCATTAATGCAAACCCCGAGAGCAAGGACATGCCAATCGCGTGTGTACTCTTCTCGTCGGCTTCGTACATTGTCGCGACACCCCTGCTATCAGAAACCAACTCCGTTGCGACGCTGAGATAGCAGGAAGACAGAGATTAACGTACTCTGGCACGATGATTGCGAGAGCGGCGCCTACAAGAAGGCCCATCCCCAGCACCTGGATGCCCGAAAGAGCTTTGCCTGGAGTCAGCGTCGGACCTCTGGTTCATTGAACGGAAGATGGAGAGACGCACTGGACAACGTCGACTTGAGCATGAGCGGGAGCGCACCGAGGAGCAGGCTCGCCGCGAACATGGCCGCGCACTGGCCCAAGAGTGCTACAAGGGGCATTGTTTGGTGGTGTGTAAGTGGAGAGAAAGAAGATGAATTGAGAATGAGAGATGGAAATGGCAGGGCTGAGTGGCGGCCTGCGGAACAACATCGGCCTCTGACCGGTCGGGAACCCGATCAGTGGGACCTGCCTCGTGACGAGGCTTTGTCACCGTAACCGTTTAGTCCTCAAGCATCACCCATTCACCACACTCATCCCGCTTGGCTCGGAGCACATAACCTCGGGGCGTCGGTCTCACGCCCTCGGCGCAGCCTTGCGCCTACTGTGGAGCGGCGCCGGCGCTTCATCTGCATTTACCGACGAGGCCAGACCTGAATCGCCAGCGCAGCGAGGCATTGTTGAAACGTGCGCCCACGTGGGTCCGGGCTTCACTCCATCTCCGCGCCGGCAACACCGGCGTCGACCGGGTTCCGGTGCAACCCCAGCCATCGTCGAGTCGTCTCATTCCGCAACCCCATCTCGTCGCCTTGCAGCAGCCCAACTGCCATTACCAGCCCAAAGCCCAACGAGATGTCTGAAGCAAGTAGCGCGCAGCCGTCGCGCGCGGCGAGCCCCACGCCCGGGCGCGAGTTTAGCACCGAGAGCTACTTCAACACCCAGAGACCGCCTGCGAGACTCGAGGTGCAGACCGAGATGATGCGGGAGTTCGTGAAGAAGTGGGATGGGAAGAAGCGGGTAGTGCTTGTTACTGTGAGTATGAGTGCGAGCGCTGAGTAGAGCTGGGTGGAGCGGCGGCGAGGGGTGTGGGGAGCTTGGTGGGCGAGAGTGAGCGGTAGATCGATATGTGGGCCACGGCAGAAGGAGTTCTATCGTCGACGGAGAACTGCATGAGCTCGCAACAACGAGGCGTGGGGTGGGATTGGACGCCCCATGTTGCTCGGTGACAGATGCACGTCACCGCGACTCGCCCACCACGTCTGCCCCCCCTTGGGATGTCACCGGCTGACAAAGACTAACTCCAGTCCGGCGGCACCACTGTCCCACTCGAGTCGAACACAGTGCGCTTCCTGGACAACTTCTCTGCCGGTGCGTCGTGCGCTTTCCTTCCTTGCCTCCTTAGAGAACGTGTCTCTGATGTCAGGCACTCGCGGCGCGACGTCAGCCGAGTATTTCCTCGGTGCTGGCTACGCCGTCATCTTCATGCACCGCCTGCACTCGCTCCGCCCGTTCAGCCGGCACTACAGCCACAGTCTCAACCCTTTCCTGGACCTCCTCACGATCTCGAGCGACTCGGTGGTTGCCACGCCCGAACAGGCTAAGCACCTGCTCCCCGTGCTGCGTGCGTACAACAAGGCGCACGATGAGGGCACCATGCTCTCCATCGACTTCCAGACAGTTAACGACTATTTGTGGCTTCTGCGAGCGGCAGGTACTGTCATGGCCCCGCTTGAGCGCAGAGGAATGTTCTACCTCGCTGCGGCGGTGTCAGACTTCTTCCTCCCGGACGACAAGGTTGTGAGTGTTGTTGATACTGATCGGCTCAGAACGGCGCAGCTGCGTTTCAAGTAGGCGGAACGCCGAAACGAAGCTAAATGATGCCTTTGGCCGTTTTTCAAGCCTGCATGAGTGCACTCCCGCTGACCCAAGGCCGAGCACAAGATCCAGAGCGCCAAGGGCTCGCTTCACCTCGAGATGGACCAAGTGCCCAAGGTCCTGCGGCCACTTGTGCAAGAGTGGACGCCGGAGGGGTACATCGTCAGCTTCAAGGTAAGTCTGGGCTGACTGTGGCGCGTGAGAAGCACGGCGATTGGCGGTATGGCTGTCGGGGTGCCTGCTCACACAAGCTCGAAACCGACGACAACCTCCTCGTGCCGAAGGCGCGCGCCGCGCTAGCGCGGTACGGGCACCAGCTCGTGATTGGCAACGAGCTGCACAGCCGCAAGTATCGCGTTGTGTTCGTAGAGCGGGCGATCACGCCACCGGCGTCCGGCAAGGAAGGGTACTTCACGGGCGGGGTACGCGGGCTGGTGGACAAGCGGATTACTGGAGCCATGACGCCGCCGCTGCGCGGAGCCGTCACGCCCGGCGGTGGCGCGTACGAGGAGACGTGGCTCGAGCTGGGCCAGCTGAACGGCGGCGATAAGGAGAAGGAGATCGAGGAGTATATCATTGCCGAGCTGGTCGCGCGGCACGAGGCATGGATCAAGGCCAAGAAGTAGAAGTCATGTATGCTGTGATTTTCTTGCAGATGAGGCAGAGTCTGTGGCTTCGCATGGTCGCAGGGGCAAGTGATCTAATGCATGCTATGTTCTATCTTCTCGACCGAGCCACTTCGCCAACCTAGTCGTCCTCGTACTCGCCCAACAGCTCGGCGTCGTCGTCGATCGGAATGGCACGGTATGGCGTCCGCCGCCGGCCTGTGAACCGCTCGAGGGCTGGCACGCGCCGCTCGAGCGCGCTCCATCCGGCGCTGATGAGCCCGAGGAGGAAGTACGGCACGGATGCCAGAACCTGGACCGCGGTGTTGAGGCCCGAAGACTGAGCGCCGAAAGCGCGGTGCTCGCCGAGCCGGATCGCGCCGGGCCGCCCCGCCTTGGCGTACCACCAATACCCGCCGAGACCTGCACACGCGAAGGGCAGGAGCACGATCGACGCCCAGAAGAGGCCGCCCAGGCGCGCACCGATCAGGCCCGGGCACGCGTGCGACGGCCCCCGGTCCAGGCGCTCGCCTCCCACACAGGACGAGTAGGGAATCTTGCGGTACGCCGTGCGCTCGTACCATGTCGTCTCGAAGTCTACGCACTGTTCATCCTCGGTGCTCACCCCGAGCGGGTTTGCTCCATCTACCAGGACGCACTTGCCGTCCAGGTTGCGATAGTAGTTGAACTCGCACTCAAAGTCGGCGGCTGTGCACTCGCACCCCTTCTCGACCTTGTGGAGCTGCTCAATCTTCTCTCCGACGTAACATGCCCTGTCCCGGATCCGGCGGTGGTAGAACGTCCTTCGCCCGAACAGACACTCCTCCTCGCGGTGCTCGGCAGGCGACCAGAGCTCGTAGTCGTCGTTGTTGGGGTTCTGGGCGTCATACTCACACTTGCGCGTGAGCACACTCTGGAAGTCGAGGTGGACGAGGACAGAGCGGTCCCTGTCGCTCGGCCGCTGGCCGATGAGGAAGAAACGCCGGCTCGTGTCCTGCGGCACCGTCTGGATAGTCTGGACGCGCAGCCGCTCGCCGAAAGTGTACGTGTTCCAGCTCAGGCCTTGGTCAATGGAGAAGAGGATGTGGTCCGTCGGCCCCTCGTCGTTGACGAGCACAAGGATCGAGCCACTGTCGCCATACTCCCACATGTGTGCGTCCTTGTGGACCTCCTGCCACGTGGAGCCGCCGTCGCGGGTGAGGAAGATGTCACTGTCGTCGTACGCGGCCAGTTCCTCGCCGACGTTGCCGACAGCTAGCATGAATCCTACCGCTGATGGCGACGAGTAAGTCGCTTTCGGGTCGCGCCTCGCCGTGTAGCCGTGCACGTGGAGCGCGCACGCTGTGGTGTCACACTTGTACGCCTGGCCGAGCGAGTCCTTGGCTGGCGGCGTCAAGGGCGTCCACCTTCCGCCGTCGTTGTGCGTGATGCGAGACTGCAGTTTCTTCTTGCCTGCGATATCCGCGTGATCCGGGTTCGCCACAATGTTCACCATGGCAATGCCATCGAGGCCAATCATCTTCTCAAAATCGACGTAGCCCTTGGAGTCGCGGTTGACGTGCTCGATCGAGAGCGAGTAGTATGTCCCGTTCGAGTTGGACTTGTAGATGCTGCCCCACTTGTTCCCCTGCTCGTTGTTCATCGTCATGTGCAGGAACACCGAGTGCGTGTTAGACTCGAGAATCGTGTATGCGTGGTTATCGATGCGCAGGCCGGGGGGGAACTGGGCCTCAGCCCACTGCTTGCTGTCGAGCGACACTTGCAGGGTAAGAGTAGTGCCTCCCTTGCGCTCGGCGACAAGCAGGTACTCAGAAAAGGTTGTCCACCCCACGACTGAGTCAAAGAGCACGTCCTTGACGCTGTAGAAGTTGCGACCGGCAATGAGCTGGATCTGGTTGTTTTCGGGGCGGCGCTGCGATCCCCTCTTCTCCTTGTAAGACTCGCAGATGATCATGCGGTCGTCAACCTTGAGCTGGGTGTCCCGTGCCCACTGACAACTCTTGATGTAGGTATCGATCTCGTACCAGCGTCTACCGTGGTCCTCCGAGTACGATGCCTTGGCGTGGCAGGTATTCGAGATCTCGGAGCCGCACTCGACTGAGCCCGTGAAGATGAGGCGGTCCGACTTCTCGGGGTGGAAATCGAAGATCGGGATGCCGAGGTTGTTCGGGTCGTCGGGTACAGTGAACGTGTTCCACGAGCCACCGCGGTCGGTGGTGTAGTAGACCGTCCGCCCTTCGGTAAGGAGGTATGCGCGCTGGTCGTCGAAGTCGTGCATGATGACGGCGAGGAATTTGGTGTCCTTCTGCAACTGCGTCCAGGAGTAGCCCTCGTTGCTCGACTGCCATACCGAGCCGTCCGACAGGTGCAGCAGGATAGTGAGCGAGTTGGCAAAGTAGTTGTGGCGCAGAACCTTGGCATCAAAGTTGTGCACGACGGACGACACTTTGCCGTCCTCGGGCGCACTCGTGCCCTTGCAGTCCTTCTGTACCTTCTCGTCGAGCGCCTCGCCACCCTCGCACGTGTTGCCAGGGATCTTCCGATAGCCTGACGAGCCCATGTACTTGTCGCCGGGGTTCTTGCAGACGCCGGGCGGGACAGTTTCGGGGCCAGCAGCTACACATTTGCCATTCTGGAGGACGTAGTTGAAGTCGCACTCAAAGTCGGCAGCCGTGCACTTGCAGTTCTCCTCGTGACCGACGGGGTCCTCAAACTTGTGGCCGACGTAGCACTGGGCGTCGAGCTTGCGGCGCGCGTACCATTGCTTGTGGCCCATGAGGCACTCACTGTCGGCCGTGCTGCGGGCATACCAGATTTCAAAGTCGCCGGTATCGCACTGCCGGGGCTGGGATCCGGCAAAGTCAAGGAAGATAGTCACGAAGCGCCCACCCGTGTCGTCACCCCGCATGGCCTGACCTAGGAGGAGGAACTTCTGCGATGTCGAGTCTGGAATTGTAGTCAAGACAAGCGCGCGCACCTTGATGCCGAGGTCGAGCTGCTTCCAGTTCGCCCCACCATCGAACGAGTAGTCGACGTGGTCGGTCGCCTGCTCGTCGTCGGCCATGACGAGCACGCTGCCCTGGTCGCCGAACTCGTAGAGGTGGGCGCCTTCGTGCACCATCTTCCAGTTGAGACCGGCGTCCGTAGAAAGGAATGTGTCGCACTCCTCGTAAGGGAGGAGGTGGGGGCCCACGGAGCCAACGCCCATGACGAAGCCAGGCGCGGTCGACGAGAACACCGTCCCGAGATTCTTGCGGTCCGACACCGAGTGCAGGTGCAGCGAGCAGGTGGCGGCGTCACTGACATCGCAGTCCCAGCGCGACCCGTCCTGCTTGCTTGCGGGCGGCTTGATGTTCGTCCACGACGACCCGTCGTCGTAAGAGATCCAGCTAAAGAGTTCTTTGGCCGCGCCGCTGCGGACCTCCTCCCTATTGACGACGGTGTTGGCGATGCCGACGCCCTCCAGGCCGTAGATACGCTCGTAGTCGACAATCCCTCGTTCATTTCGATTTGTGTCCAAAAGCGACTGCACGAATTGGGTGCCGTGTGATGATGAGACGAAGAGTGTCCCGATACCCTTGTTGCTCTGGAGCACGTCGACGGCAAGAGAGTGCGTAGTAGACTCGACGATCGTGTACGCATTCTCCACGAGGTCGGGGAGGACCGAGTGAGGGAACTGGGCCTGGTTCCAGGTCTTGCCATCGGTGCTGACGTAGAGCTGCATGGGATCCGAGTTGCCTCGCTTGCTCTCGCCTGGCGACTTGACAGCCACCACCATGAACTTGCTCACAATGCCCATGCCGACGACGCCGCGCGCCTGCTTGCCGATACCGAGGTCGACATACTCCTTGCTCTCGAACCAGTCAGAGGACTGGAAAAGGCGCGCATCTTCATACCGCTGCTGCCCGTCCTCGGCCTTGGACGTGAATGCGATGCAGAAGATGAGGTTCTCAGCTGCCTCAATCTCCTTCTTCGAGCGTGCAAACTTGCACTCTGACGTGAGGGCAAGCAGCTTGCGCGTCTCGGTGCGGAATGCGTCCTTGGTGTAGAACGTCTCGTCCCAGCATGTTTGGCTGCCACCCCAAGGCCATTTGATGCCTCCGCCTTTCTCGCACGCCGTGCCCTGGAAGAGGATCCAGTCCGGCTGGGTGGCGTGGAACGCGAGTGGCTGAGACGAGCGCGTCGCCTCGCGCTCCGTCTCAAACGAGAGCCAGGTCTCGCCACGGTTGTGCGTCACCCAATGCTTCTTGTGCTTGCCGATGACGAACGCAATCTCCTTGCTGAACGGGTGTTCAATGAGCTTGAATACGTCCGTGACCTGCTCCACTTGAGACCACGTCTTGCCCTCGTTTGTCGACCGCTGCAGCGAAGTGTCAGACTCGTGCAAGAGCACAACCTGCTCGTCAGCTATGTTGTCTCTCGGCTTGGCTCACCTCAGAGTCATCAAAGTAGAAGAGCTTCTTCGGAAACTGCTTGAAGCGAGTGATGGCTGCTTCGGGGGCGGCGTGGGCGAGTGGAAGCAGCATCACGCCCACGAGCGCCGCGAGCAGCAGCAACATCAACGCTGGTGCTGCGCCGCGGCTTGCCCTAGGTTTCCGGCCCATGGCGCGAAGCCGGAAAGTGGGAAGAGCGACGTGGATGTGGAGGCGGACGGGGACAACCGCCGGGAGTGAATGAGTGTCTGGGGGTTGCGATGGGCTGTCCGGAAGTGGCTGCGATGAAGGATATGGCGAGAGAACGAGATGAGGGCGATGAGTGCGATGATGAGAGCTTGAGAGACGATGGAGGTCCCACGTCGATGAGGTACGACACGCGTATCGCCTCGTTCCGCTGCAGCTCAAGGAGCTTGACATGACGACTGCGAGCCCAGCCACCCTGGCACTCAGGCACCCAGACTCCGTGCGGCAACTGCATCTTTGTCCGGTCCTCCCCTATATCCTCCTCGCACCTTTCTAAATTTCGGTCAAACGGCATTCCTCCAGGCCTCCTGCTGTTGTTACTTCTCGTTCGTCCTACATTCTCCAACCGTTCATTCTCGCACTTGACTGGTGAGTGCCGCTCTCCCCCGCCCCCCCTCATCATGATGCTCTATATTATCTACATTGTCCGACCGTATCGTGGAGACAATCCTTCTATCAAACAAACCTCTGATTTCCCCTCCCACCTCAATTGCTCTGTCGCCGACAACGCTGACGGAACAGTCCCAAGCCCCTTCGTGGCGCCTGACAGGTACGCTGTCTCATAGTTTGTAGCTGAGAGTAGTATGAACTTTTACCGTGCCGCCGCCTCCGCCCTCGACCACCTGGACAAGCACCAGGGCAGTGTCAAGGGCTCGCTCGCTGCAGCCAAGATCAAGGTCGAGCCGGCCGAGGCCAAGCGCATCCTGGCGTTGGTGATTGAGACGCTGAAATGTGCGCATGACTACAATGGAAGCTGACGCAGACCGCGACGTGCTTCTCGAGCTCCTCGAGATGGTACCGTTGCTCAAGCTCGAGAAGGAGACGTTCAGGATCAGGGGCACGCCCACCGGACGCAACCTCATCCTCGTGCTGCTGCACGACCTTCTTTTCTCGACGCGCGCGCGTATCGAGGCCAGTGACAAGTGGCCCCCCAAGGGTGCAATCGTGCGGCATCAGGCCCGCCTCAAGGCAGAGCTTGTTCGTATCCAACTTCGCGCAGGCGTCTCTTCAGTCCGCGACCTCGGCCGCACAGCTAGCTCGGACGTGCAGGCGCGCTACGTCCGCTGGAATCCCAACATTGACGCAAGTCGAGCCGAGGACTGGTCGCTCTCCGCGCTGCACAAGCACCTCGTCACCAAGGGCTTTGGCCTTATTGCGGAGGCCGTCTACCCTGTCCCCAGCGGAAAGTATTTCATGGACCCACACCTCCCCGAGTACCTCCTCGTCTTTCCGCCAGACACAAACTGGTGGGCTGGGGACCGGTGGTACGAGGCCGGCGCAGTCGTGCTGCAGGACAAGGCGTCGTGCTTTCCCGCCACCGTCATAATGGACGGGTGGGACGGCGGCGAGTGCATCGACGGCACAGCGGCGCCTGGCAACAAGACAAGTCTGATGTCCGCACTCATGGGGAATAAGGGGGTGCTGTACGCCTTTGAGAAGAGCACACATCGCTTCAAGACGCTCGAGAAGATGCTTGCGCGCGCCGGGTGTTCCAACACGACCGCGACGAGAGGCGACTTCACGCAAGCCGACCCAGCCGACTACCCCAACGTCACGCGCATCCTCCTCGATCCCAGCTGCAGCGGGTCCGGCATCGTGAACCGACTCGACTACCTGGTTGAGCAGGAGGAGAACGAGGATGACGAGCGCCTGGACAAACTCGCCGCGTTCCAGCTGCAGATGATCCAGCACGCGTTCAAATTTCCCGCGGTGACGCGCATCGTATACTCGACCTGCTCGATTCACGCCGAGGAGGACGAACGCGTCGTCGCCAAGGCGCTCAAGTCTGGCGGGGGCCGTTGGCGTGTTGCATCTCGCGCATCAGTGCTGCCTGCGTGGGAGAGGCGAGGGCGCGTCGAGGAGCTTGGTCCTGACGCCGAGGGTGTCATTCGCTGCTTGCCGGAGGACAAGACGAACGGTTTCTTTGTCTCATGCTTTGAGCGCGTTGATGGATCGGGACAGAAGACCGAGGGGTCGGAACGCGAAAAGCGGAAGCGTGAAGAGGAGGAAGAGGAGAGGGAGGAAGGAGATGAGGAGGGAGAAGAGGCGCAGTCAAAGGAGGCCAGGCCCAAGACGGCCGCGCAGCTGGAGCGCGCGCGCCGAAAGAAACAGCAGCAGAAGAAGAAGAAGAGGCGTACCTAGAGATGAGATGCAATGCTATGATACATGAAATTACTGCTTGGAGGCGGCCAGCGCTTCTGCCTCTGCGGCCTCGCGCTCGAGCTGCTCTGGAGTTTTCCACACGTCCTTGGTGGCGTGCATGAGCTCATACAGCTGCCCGACCTGCTCGGTGTTGAGGCTGTCGAGTACCTCTGCGTCGAGCTTGCGCCCCTGCCACTTGCCCTGCGCGTCGGTGAGCCCCTTCTGAATCTCTTCGAGGTACGCCTTCCACTGCGTGAGGAAGGCGACGATGTGGACGGGGTTGTCGGTGCTGCGTGTCGCCCGGAACTCGGACTTGACGTATGCGTCTCCCATGAAACGCATGTCGTGCGGCAGGGCGCGGTGTGCACGCAACAGGGCCCGGTAAAGACTGGTGTTAGCCGTGTCAATCAGCACGCAACGGGGCCGTGTATGCCAAGGCGGGCCCGGTGTCGCCACCAGAATTCCTAGGCTCCGAGTCTCGGACTTACGGAATTGGGGGGATGAGCTGGGCGCTAGCCTGGCTCAGGCTGAGGGGAATGCGGCCGGCGGTGGCGCGGAGTGCTGGCGAGGGGAGCATTGTGATTGCGGACGGCGCGGGTGGACGAAGCGGGAGGAGTGGTGGAGTGGACAGATCAAGTGGAGGTGATTAGAAATCTCGAGATGGAATCGGTGGATTGAATTGGTGGTGGTCGGTCGATTTCGGTGATGTGATGACAATGCGAGGCACGTGACTGGGTAGAGAGTACGCATGGGATCCACGCGATGTGCGCGCGACGTGCACGCGACAGAGTGGGAGCGGGATGAGCGGGGCGCAGAGTCCGCATGTGGGGAATCTGGTGGGCAAGGGGGAAGTCGTGCCTGGGATTATGGCCGAGGACGCCGAACAAAGTCCGAAGTCGCCTTATCGAACCCTCACAGAGTTCGAAATCATCGAGAGATTGTTGGAAACTGGCCGACTCTTGTCCCAACATGGCCTGACACGCATTGGCTCTGACGTACCCTGGCATACGCCACATCAGTGCCTGTGCATCAGAGCTGTGCTCGCTCTCACTGGCTCATGCTGTAGTCGCCGGCGGGTAATGTCAGGGGGGGGCCTTGCCCAACAAGGTCGGGTAATTGGGCGAAACAGATGGGCCTACGCCGAGTGCGCCGATGTCGCACAAGGTGGCCCCGCACCCATTGCAGTCGTCCTCTTCTCAGCGGTCTGTGCGCCCCACGCCCGCCACATCCGCACCACAAGGATCGGATCCAAGGATCATCAGATCATGCCTCCATCGCGGCCCGCGCGCGTCCCCCTCTAGCCCCTCTCCAACGCACAGTCACGCCTTTGCGTTTGCGTGGCCCGCGGTCAAACGCGCAGGGAGATGTGGCACGGTTCAGTGCGGCCAAGGTGGAAATTGGTTAGTCGTCGTCGCCGCGCAGGGTAGAACTGTCCGAGGGGCCGAGGGGCCGAGGACCGAGGGGCCAAGACCGAAGAGACCAGGCGCGACGCGGGCGCAGGGCGTACTGGTACCGTGGAGTAGTGTTGTCGAATTAGTGATGATTAGGATAGTTGTAATAAAGTATTATTAGGGATGCTCGGCGTCTCGCCCGGTGAGGTCGGCCGATCGTTGCGGTACTGGGCGGCAATCTGCGTGGCCACACAACTGGTTGCCCACACAAAGGCCTCGAGGCCACAAGGCGCAAGGCTCCGCGCTTTCCACCCAAACGATGCATGCCAAAAGACACGGTGCTGGCGACCGACTCGATCTTCCTCTCCATCACCCACACCGAGCTCATTACCTTCTCGACGTCCCCCCTCACCTTGTCCCCCCCGCAGTGCGCCGCTGGAGAGACCTCACTGTTTCCCCTGCCCCGCATCATCTAAATTCACTCACCCATCCATCCACCGCCGACCCCGTGCATCTCGCCGCTTTCCCCACACTCGAATAACATGGTGAGTAAGGTGACTAAGGCTCTGGAATCCCCTCGCATTTGGTCTCTGGCCTCTGGAGCAATGCCTCGTGGTGTGCGATGGGCCTTTTTGTGCAGGATGGCGGCATCTAGGGCGAGAGACCCAAGGACCGAACATCGCCGATGGGCCGTGGATTGCTCCACATCCTTGCCTCAATGACAGCTGGGAGAGCTGGCAGAGAGCCCCCAGCGGGCTATTGCGCTCTAACAAGTGCACGGCGACCTCTGTTCCTCTGCTCGTCTGCCGTCGTCCACTCTACCGCCCCCCACACGTTTACCCACCATACGCCCACCGGACCCCGACCGGTCCCCGCTCCCCCCCTCACCCCGGGCCTACCAAGCCTCTTTCCACCGTCACCACCCAATATGTTGCCCTCGGCGGCTCCGTCGCCCCACCTAGATTGTACCGTACCTCGCCTTGGAGCGAAGGCAAAGGCTACCGTGCGAAGGCAACGGTCGACGTGACCCTACCCGGTTTTGCCCCTGTTTCTCTCTCTTTCACTTGCCTCGCCCACGAGACGCAGCCCTTGTGGCCTATGGGCTAATGAGCTATGGACCGGTTCTCTCTTGTGCTCTGCCGTGCCGCCCCACCGTCCAACCCCCTGCACCCGCAATCGTCATCCCAGTTATAAACGCTCACCACATCTCCTCTCTTCAGCTCCCTCCCCTTCTCCGCACTATCGCGCCGGTTCGCAACTCTCTTCTCCGCACCACCCCCATCCTCTTCGCCAACATGAGCACCGCTGCCAAGGCTCCCGCCGGTCTCGACCGCATCAAGGTTAAGAACCCCGTCGTCGAGATGGACGGTGACGAGATGACCCGTATCATCTGGAAGAAGATTCGTGAGGAGCTCATCCTCCCCTACCTTGACATCGACCTCAAGTACTACGACCTTGGCATGGAGAACCGTGACGCCGTGAGTATATAATTGGAGCTTGTTGCTGGTTATCGTCGCGGCCGGTCTCGCTGTTTGGAGCGTGGCATCGCCGTCAGAATTCATGGCATGCTGGCTTCAAACAGGGTGATTCGAAATAGTCAGATATTGGAGCGGGCCGACCGGCCCCGGCCGGGCATTCATTCCTCCGAGGCTTTTCCCAACAATCAACCAACATGAACTGACACGCAGACCGATGACAAGGTGACTGTCGAGTCCGCCGAGGCCACCCTCAAGTACAACGTCGCCGTCAAGTGCGCTACCATCACCCCCGATGAGGCCCGTGTCGAGGAGTTCAAGCTCAAGAAGATGTGGAAGTCGCCTAACGGCACCGTGAGTTACCGCTCGGCCAATCGCATCAAGCCGAATCGTCGTTCCTAGCCCACTTGAACATCTGGGATCGGCGCTTCGGTGATGCCCGGCCCTGCTTGTTTGCGATGGCCTGCGCTGACAGAGCAGATCCGTAACATCCTCGGCGGCACCGTCTTCCGTGAGCCCATCATGCTCAAGGACCTCCCCAAGCCCGTCCCAGGATGGACCAAGCCCATCATCATCGGCCGTCACGCTTTCGGCGACCAGTACCGCTCGACCGACATGATCGTCCCCGGTGCCGGCAAGCTCACCCTCAAGTTTGTCCCCGAGAACGGTGGCGAGGAGCAGGAGCTCGAGGTCTTCCAGTTCCAGTCGGCAGGTGTCGCCATGTCGATGTACAACACCGACGAGTCGATCTTCGGCTTTGCCCACGCTTCGTTCAAGATGGCCATCGCTAAGAAGATGCCCCTCTACATGTCGACCAAGAACACCATTCTTAAGAAATACGACGGCCGCTTCAAGGACATCTTTAACGAGGTTTACGAGGCCGACTACAAGGGCGAGTTTGAGAAGCTCGGCATCTGGTACGAGCACCGCCTCATCGACGACATGGTTGCCCAGGCGATCAAGTCGGACGGTGGCTTCGTCTGGGCGTGCAAGAACTACGACGGCGACGTCATGTCGGACGTTCTTGCCCAGGGCTACGGCTCGCTCGGCATGATGACCTCGGAGCTCATCACCCCCGACGGCAAGGTCATGGAGGCTGAGGCCGCCCACGGCACCGTCACCCGCCACTACCGCCAGTGGCAGAAGGGTGAGAAGACGTCGACCAACCCCGTCGCGTCCATCTTTGCCTGGACCCGTGGTCTTGCATTCCGCGCCAAGCTCGACAACACCCCAGAGCTCGCCCAGTTCGCGACCGCCCTCGAGGCCGCCTGTGTCGACGTCATCAACGCCGGCACCATGACCAAGGACCTCGCCCTCTCGATGAAGGGCAAGGCCATGACCGACGCCGACTGGGTCACCACCGACGAGTACATGGACGCGGTCAACAAGGACCTCCAGGAGAAGCTCAAGTCGCGCAAGAACAAGCTCTAAGAGCTCGTTCTATCTTGTCTCCCCAGGTGGGAGAATCGGGGGCGGCATAATAGGCGCTGCCCCCGTATCACCGTAGGCACTACGTGCAGGCATCAATAAAATGTAGCCGACACCGCAGCAAGGCTGCACCGTCCACAGGACGGGTATGCATATACAGTTATACCCATTACATGACACAAGACTGGCGGTGGTGTGTTAGGAGGAGCGTGGGCGCAGGAGGCGGACACAGCGAACGGGCAGTGAGCAGGAGAGCTGATAACGAGCAGCGTAGTAGTGTGTGGAGGACGTGTGGAGCCCATCAGCTGCCGACCCTCGGCGCATCGCTCCTTGCCAACTCATTCCCGCCGGCTATCTCGTCTCATCTCATTCCATCGTATATCGTCTGTCTCATCTCGTCTCAACTTATCATCTCATCTCACCTCATCCGCCGACGTCGGCGGCACTGTCACTGCATCGTGACACCGAGACCCTGGCACCCCGCACGCCCACAACGCCACCACCTCAGGCCTCAGGGCCACGAGGGGCGGACCGTCGTTCCGCCCACCACGCGGGGCCACGACGACTCGGCCGTGCGCGCGGCCTCGGATCGTCCCGAATCGCCGGCTTCTTGCCGGTCCAAGCGCACCATCTTTGAGTGCCTGCACGCTGCACAAGCATCAGCAAGCAGGCCGCCGCGAAAGCTGCCAGTAGAGGACAGGGTGATCACGGCAGAAGCAGGCACATGTCCCCAGATAAGGCGCGGCGTTTCCACGGCGTCACGCGGCGGGTGTGGTGTCGGGGTGTCGCGGGCGGCGCGGGTGCCGAGGTCCCGGTGATGCCGAATCCGAAAATGGCTTTTCAGAGCTTTTCGAATCCCCGCGGTGTGCGAAGACGTCAACTGTGCGCCCCGCATCGTCTCGCGTCGGTCTTAGGGCGGCTGCCGCGCGGTCCAGGATCCGTCGTGAGGCACGCGCACGCCCAAGCAAGGAAATTAATGCCGGAAGCCGCATGCCGATAGGTGGTGGGCATAGATGGGTGGAGGCTAGACGCCGAGGTTTCATCCGTAGGGCTAGCTTGCCATCTGGCAAAGATTAGATCGCGTTACGCAACTGCTGTGGGCGGCTGGGAGATTGGGAGAGCGTGAAAGGCGGGTGAAGACAGAGATCGCGTGTCCCGCATTAGGTACAACTTCAAGATTGGACGTCAGACAAATCGCGATAGCTTAGTGGAAGAGCGCGAGGCTCATATGGTTAACCGTACGATCACCTCGAGGTCGGAGGATCGAGACCTCCTCGCGATAGTCTTTTTGCAGTGGGTGCGACCGCGACTAAATGGGAAGGCGCTGCACGCGCTATGAGAGGAAGATGTCAATGCACCCTACCAGCGATCCGGCGATCGACCGGCGAACGCACCACCTTCATCCTCTCAGCCATGCGTTGTACACGCGCGTTGTCGCCAGCAACATCAAACCGCGGGGGATATCGCTTAGCGAATGCTGGTCACTGTGGGTTACCGTCCGCGCCAATCGGTCTGGAGCATACCATGTGGTTACTCACGACGAGGTGGGTCCCATGCTCTTTGGCGGCCTCTCATCCTTGAGTGTTCATTCTTGGTTGTGTGTGATGTGAGACTGATCTAAGGATGCTTCCCTGCGAGTGTGAACTGTCATGGGAGCGCCACGGTGCGAGTCATTCAAACCCCAACAGCATGGTATGAAACCATCTCGCCGACCAGCACAGCCGGTGTGGCTGCTCTCGCGTTATGTGGCAGCTGGGAGGATTAAGGTGAGATCTCATATGCTACGAGCTTGAGCCCGCAAGCTTGATCTCACACCCTCGTCGAGGAGAAGTCGATCGCAGGAGGTTGTGGCGATGATGTACAGGCGAGCTGATCGACAGCATTTGCAAGCAGCATTTTCCTCCAAGGTTCGCCTTCAGCGCGCGCAGTCTCAACAGCGCTTCCACCATGCATGGCGTCAGAGGGGCCATTGTACTTTCGACTCTTACATGAGAGTGTCGCAGGCCCCTGTCACGTGACTCGGCACTCCGCCTGCCTCCACCTTCTACCCCGATGACCAAGAACGCTCCGCTCCGCTTCTCTTCACCAGACACTCACCATGCTCAGGCCACGATCTTTCGCTCCACTCACCCGCGCCGCGCGCACCTTTGCGACGCGCCCTCGCGCCGTTCCCCGCGCCGTCCCCGTCCTCCCTCTCCCCCGTATCAGCGCGCTTCGCTCCTCCTCCGCCCTCGCCACTCATCTCAGACATGCCTCGTCGGCCGCTTCCATGTCGTCGGCGGCGCCGAACCTCCCGCCCATCCCCGCTTCGCCGAAGATCACCGTCACGCCGCCGTCGCTCGACGCGATTCGCGAAGAGGGGTTCATGGACGACGCAAAGCTCGTGCCCGAGGACGAGGCATATCTCAACATCACGCCCGAGGCGATCCAGCAGCTCGCGCGGCTCGCAGCAAACGAGCCGCCAGACACCAAGCTCGCGCTGCGGGTCGGCGTGGACTCGGGAGGCTGCCATGGGTACCAGTACATCATGGAGTTGGTGGAGGACCGGGGGGTCGATGACTAGTGAGTAGGCCGGGGAAAGTGCTGGGAGGTGGGAGGGCGGCGTTGGACCAGCGGGGAAGAGAAGGGAGAGAGGTTGTAGGAGGGCGGGAGAGAGAAGAAGAACGAGGGTTACGGAGCCGATGGGCCCCCGGCGTCGAGAAAATCAGCTAACCCCAGCACCATGCAGGCCGAAGGCGCCTTGCCCGTCATCGTCGACCTCATGTCCCTCGGCATGCTGAAGGGTGGGTCCGCCCGCTAAGCAAGAGCTGACATTAGGCGCAACCTTGCACTATGCGACCGAGCTGATCGGCTCGTCCTTCCGCCTGCAGGACAACCCGCAGGCCAAGGAGGGAGGCAACTGCGGCTGCGGCGTGTCCTGGGAGGCCAAGGAGCAAATTTAGATGTGGCTCGGGATGCATGCGATATTTCGTGACCAGTGTGCATGGCATGAGTGGTTACAATGTATGATGCTGTTATATGGAGTGGTGAGATGTGTGTCGATACAGTTGGTGCTATAAATCTATGATCTTCGTCCTCTACCCTTTTCTCGTGCTTGCGCTCTCGGCATGCCCGGAAGCTCGTCTCGACCCGTCGGTCAAGTCGCCCAGCGGCGAACTGTTTAGTAGCCGCATCGACGCCAGGTCAATACGACAAGGTTGGGGTCCGTCAGAGGGCGAACGGAACGCATGCTCTCCGACGCTTCATGACGGCTGGGAATCGCTACGGCCTCAGAGCCCTTCAGCGGCGGTCGCCCTTCTCGGGCAGGGTACCGACCTCCGTCCCCTCCGCGGGCGAGCTCGACAGGACACGCGCAAGCGGGGCGCTTGTGGTGCGCCGCGTTAGGGGACGGGTTGGGCTCGCCATTGGCGATGGCGAGTGCGCGCTGGTCTGCGGGATGGGGTTGGCGGCGCCGTGCGTCGCTGCCGCGGACGCTCCACCACTTCCGCCAGGAACAGATGCGTGGCCCGCGGGGCCACCTGCCGCAGTCTTGGACTTGCCTACAGCCTTGACGCGGACGACTGGGGCGCGCTTCAGGCCCAACAAATTGCGGTGGAGGAGATGTGGGCGGAAGAGGCGGTCCCAAATTGACGCACGAGAGCGTAGGGAGCGACGCACCGCACCCCACCGCGCCTCATAGTCTGGGATGCCCTTGGCGTACAGCGCCGAGCTCTGTACGCCACACTCGGTCTCGGCCTGCGCCTCGTGCCAGCGCCAGGTCTCTGCGCGCTCGCGCACGAAGCGCTCCTTAGCCTCTCTCACGCTCTGAGGCAGAGAGCTGGGCTTGGACACCAGACTCACGTGGCGCACCTTGCGCAGCACGCGCGCGCCGTAGAGGTAGAGAAGGAATGCGAGGGAGAAGGACGCGCCCGACGCTGCAAGAAATGCGTACTCCACATTCTCAAGGTGTGTCGTGAGGTTCATTCCGAAGAGGCAGGGGATGAGGGCGCCGGCTCCGATGCCGAGTGTCGCCATAGACACCTTGATGTCTAGGGCGAGGAGCTCGTTGCGTCCCGAGTCGAGCATGAGCTCAGCGACCTCCTGGGTGCTCTGCATGTTGGCGGCTGTCGTGTCGATCTCCGAGATGACTTCCTCGACCTGCTTGGTGAAGCTCTCGAGGAGGAGCTCCAGTTGCTCGTGGTCATGCACTGCACGCGGCCGGCCGTGCATGCGGTCCGACACGTACATTGCTGCGAGATCTTCGTCACTGTCGAGCAGCTCGTCAAAGCCGCTCTTGATGCTCTTCGCACGCGTCTGGAAGCCCGCAAGCCGACGCGAGTAGTGCAGCAGACGGCGGAGATTCTCGCGGTCAATGTCGTGCTCAAACTTCTCCAGCAGCGAGTCAACGAGACGCCGAATGAATCCCATCTCCTCCTCGAGGGCATTCGCTGTGTCGACGAGAATACTCTCTAGAGCACGATGCTCATAAGCCAGCCCGTAGTCCTCGCCCTCTACGCGCTCCTCGTGCTGCGGGGCCAGGCCAGAACGCACGTTCGCCTGTAGGTGGGCTTTGAACCGCTTGGCGGCCTCCGAATCCTCCGCGCCAGGAGTGTTAAAGATGATCACGCGGTCGGGCTTGATGAGCGCGCGGATGTGGTGGATGGAAATAAGAATACAAGACTTGCGGGTCAAGATTATTGGTACGAGGGAGGGCACGAGGCTGTCGAGCTTGCGCAAGTCGCGGGGCTGAGGTTAGTGATGTGATGTGGCGGCGACGGTTAACCCACGTCGAGGTCGTGCGCGCGGCACAGGTCCATCTTGCGGTATGTGCCTTCTTCGGCGGTCCAGTTGCCGTTGGCATCGAGAATTGAGCCTGCAGTCAGATAAGTTCGAGTGGAGTGTGCGTCAGGCAGACACTGCTCCAACACCCTCGGCGGCAGGCCGTGTATTGTGGCTCACTCGGCGCCAAAAGCGCCTAACAAATCGGGACGGAGGACGCGAGAGGAGCGTCGGCACGCTGCCGTAAAGCCGAAATCACTCACACTTGAGGTACATGTGTCCCGCCTTGTCCATCAAGCTATCGAGATACCGCTCCCTCCGCCGCGACTTGGTAGCCGTAGGCGTTTCAATCACGAGCCCTCCCCCCGGCGCGGGCAGGGGCGGCATGGCGGTATCGACAATCTTGTGCTCCTCATCGGGGGGCGGGTAGCTCGGAGCCCAGAAACTTGTGGCACGGCGTGTCAGAATACCCCGAGATGGCTGGAACGTGCTCAGCCGCGACGGGCCGGCACGTGTGGCGCGCGAGATGAGGGGTCGGCGCGCGCGGGAGAGGGCTTGGAAGGCGGGACGCGCGCTCATTGCGTAGCACGGTAATATACAGTATATGTGGAGAGTGTGATACAGACAAGAAGACGTGCAAGTTGAAACGGGCGTCGGAGTTGTGGCAACAGCAACACCAGAGCAGGCCGACAAGAAATCACTCATATCTCGCTCGGCGTGACGTACGCGGCGGAAGCGCGGCCCTAAGCGCGATTATCTCGCGGTAATGACGTGGTCTTGATACAACGCCTCCACTGACGCCAGCAGCGTCATCGACGTTCCTCGCGCGACACGGAACACTTCTGACCATCTCTGAACACAATGGCCGACGAGAGTGAGTGCGCGAGCTCGCAACCGCTGGCTCCGACGTGACCTTCTCCTTCTTGCTGACAGAAGACACCCTCGGCTCGCTCCTCGACCTCCTGCGTCGCCTGCCCCCGACGCGCGTGGAGGCCAACGTTGAGGCGCTCGCCAACCTCGCCCCTGAGTTCGCCGACGACCTCTACGCAAACACGGACCAGCCGCTGCGCGTGCTGCACGACGAAGAGGCCGGCCGCTCCTTCCTCGGCTGTGACTACAATCGCGACGGCGATAGCTTCCGCTCGCCCTGGACTGACAAGTATCTCCCACCAGCGCCCGGGGCGCCGCAGCCCTCCCCCCGGCTCCGCCAGCTGGAGGTCCTCTTGAACGCCGCGTTCGACACCTACCGCGAGATGTATTACGAGGGAGGTGTGAGCTCAGTGTACTTGTGGGACCTGGGCGAGGACATGGGGACCAAGGACCTCGAGTTTGCTGGTGTCGTGTTGATGAAGAAGGGTGAGTGCGAAGACAGCACCTGACCAGCAGCCTTATTGTGTTCTTTGATGCTGATGCTAGACCTTCCTGCCGACACTGGCCTCACCGGGAACTGGGACTCGCTGCACGTTTTCGAGTGCACAGAGCGCGGCCGGACGGCGAAGTACAAGCTTACGTCCACGGTCATGCTTGTCCTCGAGGCGCCGACCAGCGCCACGCTCACCGACAAGGCCGGCGCCAAGGTCGCTGGTGCGACGGCCGATGGCAAGGTTACGCTGAGCGGGAGCATGACGCGCCAGGCTGAAGTGGACTACCCACTCACAGGGGCGACGTCGCATGTCAACAACGTGGGGAGGATGGTGGAAGACATGGAGTGAGTTGTGGTGGACGGATTTGCGCGGCTCTGCGACGGCTGGGCCATCTGACCTATCTATAAGCATTAATTTCCTGCGATTTGTCTATAATCTTGATAGACTCTCCAGCCCTGGGATGTCGCGCTGACCTCAGAATTAAGATGCGCAACCTCCTCTCTGCAGTGTACTTCGGCAAGACGCAGGACGTTGTCGGCGAACTGCGTTCCCAGATCGGGCTTGAGGCGCGCTCCCGCGAGGACCAGCTGCGCGCTGAACTCGCTGGTGCGATTGGGGCGCGTCGCTAAGTTGTAGTCAGATGCATTGTACACATAGGATTTGCCATTATTCATCTGCATCTAAATATCGACTACCCAACCCACTCGTACACGTCCTGCTCGCTGTTCTCTGTCACCTTCCAGTCGACAACGGTAGGCATGACAGCGCGCGAGCGCTTGACACGCCCCTCAGTCTCGAGCTTCTGCAGGTGTCCGCCCATGGGGAAGGAGGCGGCACGGATGAGCCCTTCGTGACCCGTGGCATACACGAGGCGGCAGAGCAAAGCGAGAGTGGCGCCGCGGCTCCCTGCTGCGTCTCCCATCGGGAAGCTAGATGCGATTGGGGACGAGTTGCGCGCTGCTTCCACGGCGCGCTTGGCCATCTCTGCGCCAGCACCTCCCGCACCTCCAGGCCCAACGGCCGCGTCAGGCGACTCCCTCGCGTGTTCCCGGATCGCATCGAGCTTGGTACCCAGGCTTCCTGGGGTAGAGGAGATCGCGCGGAGCGCTTCCACGATCTTGTCCTCCCGCTCCTGCCGGTGCTTGATGTACGCCTCGAGGTGCTTCCGGGCCGTTGCGCCGTCGGGCGTGTGCGGTCCATGAGCGGGGTAGATGACCTTGGGCTCAAGGGACAACAGACGCTTAAGGGAGCCCATGTACGCGGCAAAGTCGGTGAAGATCGTCGTGCCCTGTCCCAAAACCGTATCGCCTGTGAACACCTCGCCGGCGTCGGTGAGAAGCGAGATCGAGTCGGCCGTGTGACCAGGCGTGTGCACCACGGTCACCGTGACTCCGGGGACCGAGACGGTGTCGCCGTCCTTAAGCGATGCGAGAGGAGCAATTGGACCAGCTGCAGCCTTGAGATGTGCGCCACCGAGCGTCTTGAGAAGGTGCTCATCGCTCCATTCCGGCCGGTCGGCGATGATTTCATGCTCGTCAGGATTCGGCATCTTCCACACTGTCGGCGCGGGCGCACCCTTCGCCTTCAGCGCGTCCAGGAGTGGGACGAGGCCACCGACGTGGTCCGGGTGCCGGTGGGTTAAGACGATGTGTTGCAGCGGCCCAGAGAGGGCGGAGAGCACAAGGTCAACCCATGGCCCTGCAGTCTCTTCTGACGTCGTGTCGATCAGGAGCTGACCGTCCGCTCCGCCTAGGAGGTACGTGTTAGTTCCTTGCAAAGTCATGAGGGAGGGGTTCTGGCCAAGGACGCGGGTGACCGTGGGGGTTAGCTGGGGTCAGCGGTTGATTAGATTGCGCGAGCGAATGAGGGCGCAGGGAGTGGTCATGGTCAGATGGCGCGAGATGGGATGGTCAACCTTCCGGACTGGAGCGGGACGATATACACGTAGACTTGCCAAGACTCGTTGCCAGCCTCGCACAGTCCAGTACCGCCTCCTTTCGGTTTTCCAGTGGCACTGGCCGGCGCTCGAAGGATAGCACCCAATGTGTGCGCCATCTCCCTCTGCCAATTCCACAGCCTCCCGGCTACTGGTGATCCCGCCGAGGCGCTCCCTCGCAGCCACACACACTCACCTGCGCCGTGTTCGGCAGATCGGCGAGCTTGCCTGGCCCATTCATCGTCGCCTGCTGGACGGCCATGATGCGAGATGAGGAGGCGAGAGATCGAGATGGAATTGCAGCTGGAGGTCGAACTAACGAAGCTGCGGGTGACGTAGCAAGAGGTAACGAGCGGGCTAGAAGAGCAATGGGAGAGAAAGATAGTGGGACGCGAAGACCGTGAAGAGCAGTCTTGAGGGACGCCGACATGGAGTGGGCAGTTATCGGATGTGTGCGAGCTGACTGAGCTGCTTCATTCCTGTAGATAGCCGGGTAGCCGGTCATGCCGAGTGTGTGATCGTGGGAAATCTCCCCGCGTGGAGGTGGAGGCGGAATGACGCACGCGCCGATTTCAGTGGGTCTACCACGTCCATCGTCCAACTTGCTGCTTCGAACCGTTTCTCATCTCGATTTACTCTCCTCGAGTCAAGCAGAATGGCACCGCAGAAGTTCTCCGTTCTGACCGTGTGTCTAGGGTGAGCGGGGGGACGCTGTCGCGGAGCTGACGGTAGAAAGTATGCCTCTTCCCGGCATGCGAGCTGACGACAGTATCTGGTGAGTTCCGCCCTTCGTTGCCCTTCGACGAGGATGCGTAGAGCAGAGCTGATTGAAGCCGTTCGCCCATGGCCGAAGCTATCCTTATTGCCGAGGCGGCCAAACGTCCCGGGCTTGACCTCACCGTAGACAGCGCGGGCACCGGGGCGTACCACGCTGGCGACGGAGCAGATGAGCGGTCAGTTCAACACAGTGTTCTCGGACCCACAACCCGCCTTCCCTCCCCGTTGAGCCGAGCCGCTCGGGTGTATAGAGATGGAGACAGCTGACCCCAGCACAATTGCTGTCTGCAAGAAGCATGGCGTGCCCGTCAACTGCATCGCTCGCCGTATCGAGACTGAGGACTACAACAAGTTCGACTACATCCTCGCCATGGACCAAAGCAAGTGAGTGAGCCGGGTGCACGACACTCAGCATAAGCGATTGCTATCACTTCACGACCTTTGTATTAAACTGATGGCGTCGCCGAGCTGCAATGTCTTCTCAGCTTCTCTTAACACTCGGGCCTCAGCAATGCGCGTGGGCGCTAACCTTCAGCCTCCAGACCCTCCAGACCCGCAAGCCCCGCGGCTCCCGAGCCCACATCACCCTCTTCGGGACATTTGACCCGGACCTGGCGCTGGCCTCGCCTGGTGCTCGCCTCCGCCCCGGCATCATCGAGGACCCCTACTACGGCGGCCGCGAAGGATTTGAGCACGCTTACGATCAATGTGTGCGGTACGCGCGTGGGTTCCTCGACTTTCTAGAGGCCGGAGGCGGGGAGCCGCCCAAGCTCTAGAACATTCAAGGTCATTAATAAGCTAATCTAGCTGGTGAGGGCATGGGGGAAGGTTAGTGAGCTATTGTTCGCCGAGACTACTGGCGTCACGGCATGGGGCTAGTACATACCCGCATGTATAGAGTGAGACCGCCGGATGCTGGAAGGCATGCTGAAGCCACGAGCACTGATCACGGTGAGTGCCTAATGCCCGAAAGCTCACAGTCGATCCGTCAGCGCCAAGATCCAGGACACCCGCTTGGACGGTATGAGTGACAAGATGCCCTCGGAAGGGTCGGCGCCCGCTGCCGTCGGGCAGAGTCGACGGACTCCATCGGCATCTGTAACTCGGATGCTTTTATATTCTTAGGTCACTAGATGTGCCAGGTACGCGAATACCCTTTGATCAAGCTGCCACCTGATCCATAGGCGGTGTGTCTGTTGCGAGTGTGGCGCCTCTGTGGTTACACCATTGTTCAAGGTGTATGCCTTTCTCGATGCCCTCGTACAGCAGGAGGTCCGGCCATCCCGGCGTACGCGATGATACAAATGCCCAAGTTTCCCCTGTGCCCCCATCACCACCTGCGACACAACTTTGCGATGCTCGTACCGCTCGAAGAATACGCCGAGTACTGCCCCTCCTATGCGGGTTGGGGTCTGTTTCCACTTATGCCTGTGAGCTCCCCTGTACTCTAAACCTTCGACGGAGTGATAAAAGAGGCTGACACCAGTCGCTCTCAGCGATGGCTTTCGCCGAGCGCAAGCCCTCGCCGTCTGCAAGCCCCAAGAAGAATACTTGCCAGGAAGACGAGGAGAAGAACACGACAGGCGACGTGCGGGACATGTGTATCATCTCATGAATGGCGGGGATGTGCAGTGCCACCCACGAACGCAGTCCAGCGCTGGCCCACGTTACCGCGTTGGCTGTCGTTGGTCACCTTAGCTGGTGGCGAGCAAAGTCACAAGCTGAGAAAGTCGAGCAGACGGAAGGAGGAGCGGCGGCGAGGAGACGAGTCGCCGCGAGGAGGTGTGGCGTACGCCACGGTCTGATGAATACGGCAAGATAGGTGTTGCCTGTTGTAGGCGAGTCGAGTGCAAACAGCCCCGCCACATGTGTGCATATTGTGTGTTTGGAGTGTGTGTGAGCGAGGAATGCTTCTGTGCGGATGCTCGTGCGCCGATCGTGCGCCGATCTGGGGAGTGTGCAGGTACACATACAAATAGCCGTGTAGCCGTGGTCATGTACATCAGGCACCGAAGCTGCGACACGCTCTTCATGCACTCTCATCAAAATTCGCTACTACTGCATGCTCATCGATACCACGACGAACTGCACAAGCACTTGCTCAGGCTGCTCGAGCTCTTTAGATACAAGGTGGGCCAAACGCCGAGACTCGATTCGAGCGGGCGGATGTACGGAAGCAAGGGGTGGAGGCCGAATGATATTCGCAATGGGCCGGAGCATTACCCGGTGATTAGGGAATGTTGAATTGAGACCTAAGGGCCCATTGGAAACCGACCGTCGTCTTGGCCTCCATGTGATCAGCGGCACTCCGCCATCTTCATTCCCGTTCCTCCTCTTTCATCACCAACTAGTCTCCTCTCGACTCGCTCTCAGAGTCTCTTACACGGTCTCCCGCAGAACCCGCCATCCAGCGATACAAGGTCAACGGCGCGTGCACACTCCCTCCGCGCCCGTGCCCGCTCCTTAAACCTTGCCTCGAGCTCGAGCCATCGGCGTCATCGGCCTCCCACGCCAGCTCAGACCTTTGTCATCACGTGTGGCTGCGCCTTTCCTCTGACCGCCGGCGCTCCCTCCTCCCTCTCCTCGTCCTCCGCGCCATCCTCACAGGTCATCCTCTCCTCCCTCTCCATCCTCTTCCCCTTTTGCCGCCCCCGCCCCCCCTAGCCACTCCCGCGTCGAGCGCCCGCCTTCGACTATCCAGACACGCCTGCTCGCACGAGCCATCCTACGCCAAAGGCATCACTACCAAGCCGTTTTAAGACCATGGAACAACGACCACAACCCGACAAACCCCCGCTTACAATGCGGTCTGACGGCAAACCACGCCAAACGCGACAGCACTTTAGTTGCGCCGAGTGTCGGCGGTGAGTGACGCCGAGCGGCAGGTGGCGAGCGGCGGACAGGACGGCTAGCACGGCTGTTGTCTCCCCCACTCCTGTCTTGGCAAGAGCACTGTGGACTGGAGGGGGCTGCTTAGCATTGTGAGGGCAGGGAATGGCTCGATCGCACCCCCCGCTGCAGATGACGGCCGGCGTAGGCAGGCGCCCACGTCTCTCATTCCTCCCCCACCCGCCCACCTGGGTAGTCCATGATCAGCCTCCCCATCCGCCTTGCGACTAACGGATGACATTGCAGATGCTAACACCAGACTCAAGCTCAAATGTTCACGGACTTGGCCATGCACGAGCTGTGTCAAGCGTCATTGCGAGCAGATCTGCCCGTTCGGCCAGGCGAAGACGATCAAGGGCAAGCGGTGAGTAGCTAAGGATCTTCGTTGTGGGATGCGGAGGACGTATTCGCTTGAGCGATGCCTGGCAAGGCTCAGTGAGACGCTCTACCGCCTGCATGTGGTACACCGTGTGCTGGATACCTCCATGGCATGTTTGGCGGCTCGCCCACTTCAGAGTGTACGGACTAGGCAAGGCGGAGAGGATGCCCGCCCAACCCTGTGCCCACCTGCGCTTCCGCACGTAGTGTGGTGGGCTCGCCCACCCCGCCTCGCTCCTCGCCTTCCGCTGGCTCCCCACGTTCAAGCTAACCCCAGCATTGTCCTTGCCGACGCTGAACATCTCCACGAACGCATCCGCAAGCTTGAGGTCGCGCTCTCGCAAGAGCGATCCAAGAACACTCAGGAACCTCATCCCCTCCTCATCGAGACCGACTGGTTTACAACTGAAGACGGCGCTGGCCCCTCGAGGCTCGACACCAAGCCAGAGACGGGCGCTATCGATGCAGCCGCCGGCGCCTTCGGCACGCTAAAGATCGGCACCGAAGGCGAAGCCCACTTCATCGGCTCCTTCGCGGGCTCCGAGTACTTGCGCGAAGAAGGGCAGACGTCCGAGCCAAACACGCCAAGCGACCACATGCGCACCTCCGAGTTCTACGATACGCAAATGGCGGCGCCCGTGAGCCGCGCAGCTTACTCTGAGACAGCGTTGAAACTGCACGACGCCTTCTTGGCTGGCGGCGTGGGCATTGCCGGCGTCGCTGGCGCGGACTACAATGTTGATGCGCTGCGCGCCGAGCTCCCCGACCTCGACCCCGAGGGATACGCCATCCTCAATGTGTACTGGGACAACGTCAACTGGATGTACCAGCCTATCAGCCGGGCGCTCTTTGAGCGCGACTATCTGCTGAACGCGTACGACGCGAGCGTGCGCCCGCATCCGCACAAGCTCGCGGCCACCTTCTTCCTCATGGCCGTCGGCGTATTATTCGACCTGTCGCGCAACCCGTGGGATGACCGCGCGGCGCACCTCTTCTTCTGCGGCCGCGCATGCCTCGGCTTGGTGGGCCTCGAGAACGCCTCCCCCGCCACAGTGCTTGCCCTCCACCTCATGGGCACGTATATACTCAACGACAAGATTGGGAACAGCGCCGACGTATTCTGGCCGATCTTGGGCACGGCGACGAGAGTAGCGCAGAGCGTGAGTCCAGCCACCGGAGGGATGCTGATAGCAGCTCGGCCTCCACCGCGACGGCCTGATGTTTGGCCTGTCGCCGTACGAAGTGCAGGAGCGCCGCATGCTCTACTGGGAGGTGCTCACTTATGACCGCTTGCAGGCGCTTTGCTTTGGTCGTCCGTGCGCAATGAGCAACCGGTCCAGCGACACACTGCTGCCAGACGACGAAGCGCTTGCAGGCGATGAGGACGGGTTCCATCGGTCAAAGTACCGCCTCATTGAGATCATGGAGCGGGTTTTGGATGTGGTGAGTACTGGTGACTCCACGAAGAGGCCCTCCAGGCTTCGCGTCCCCCTGCTGACATCAGCAAACCAACGCCAAGCCGACGCCCTACTCCACAGTCCAAGCGGTTGACAAAGAGATCACAACATGTACGTGCCCCGTGCCTTCGGTCTTCTTACACACCAGTCCGCGAGAACCTGCCAGACACGATGCTGCCGAAGACGCAGATTTCAGATCTGCCAATGGACAGAATGCTCAGCCCGCAGATCGTAATCCACCGACTGAGCATCCGCTTCCTTGTTGCCCAGACACGCCTGCTGCTCAACAGGCACTGGTTTACGATAGCGCTCAAGGACTCGCCAGAGGACCCGGGGCAGTCGCCATTCGGTGACGCCTTCATCGCGGTGTTTGAGAGCGCGAGCGAGATTGTGCAGACGATCCGGCAGCTCGTGCGTTACCACCCGTCGCTGATCGCACGTTGGTGGTTCTTCTGGTTCCACGCGCTGAGCGCGTCAGTGTGCCTGTGAGTAGTGCGTCAGATACGCGCTGACGCCAGTGCGGCGGTGGCGATCCGGGCGCCCCTGTCGGTGTGGGCCGTGCCCTCGTACCAGAAGCTGCAGCAGATGGTGGACATTTCTGCTGCGACGCGGGACGGGTGCCGGGCGAAGAATGGTCTCGGGGCGATTCTGCAGCTGCGCCTGTCTGCGAGCGAGGCGATGGAAGCCGCGGCCAAGACACGGCGGCGCGCGAGCCAGCCTCTGGCGTTCGAAGACCCGGCGACGGTGAGCTACCTGGAACATCTCAAGGCGGGCGCCAAGCTCGTGCGTGTGGGCACGGGACAGTCGCCTGTGCGTGACAACTCGCAGTCGCCGTCGGCGATCAGCGGCACGCTGCCCGAGCTGCGGACGCTCGAGGCGCTCAAGCAGGAGATGTCGTCGTCGCGGCCGGGGAGCGCGAATGTGCCGTACCTCCCGCTGAACCAGTTGGCGGCGCAGAACGCCGAGTTTCCGAGCAGCCAGTGGCTGAGCGAGCTGGTGTGGCAGCCGCCGGACGGCATGTCGATGGGGGACTTGGGGATGGGGCCGCCGGTGGACATGGACACGAGCATTGCGCTGGGGATCGGGAGCAGCCAGCACGAGCTGTTGGATGCGTTTGTGAATGGGGTGGGGCGGTATCACCAGCGGTAGGAGGAATTGGGTGTAGCAGAGTAGAGTAGATGGTGTGTTATGGTGTGGTGTGGGGGCGTGACGTGAGATGGGGGATTGGGTAATGTTATGGAAGAAATGGTGGGGAATGCTGAGCGAGGTGGACGACCTCCACCGGGGTGTTTTGTGAGTGGCACAAGTGGGGCGAATGGGATATACAGTATAAGGATGTGGGCTGTTCGTCTGCGAGATCCGCCTCGGCGCCCTTCCGGGGGGCATGCTGCCAACATGGCGTCTGGCATGCTGGCGTGCTGGCGTGTTGGCGTGCGGCGTACCGGAGCGATGAGAGCCACCGTCGTCGCCGGCGTGCGGCGTGCAGCGAGGCGTGTGGTGCCTAGGGACAGAGGGTTAGTCAGGGACACGCAGAGTGCTGGGCACAGCACCGCGTCCCGGCTCTGGGCCCAGGGCATAGGGCCGTCCCCACCGGCTCAGGGCGTTTCAGGGGCGTACCAAAAATCCCGAGGCTCGGTCTTGGCTCGTGGCTCGTGACTGCTGGGGGGCCTGGGATCCGAGATTGTCATCTCAAGACATGACTCACAACCGGCCAGAGGCCAATGGCTCAAATAGCACAGTTCAGCCTGTCTAGATCTTGCGTGAGACATGGAGAATGGATGGTATTCAAGACGCCGACGCCGAGACGCACTACACAACACACCCACGCGACCCAGGCCAAACGGAACGCACGGACCGCGGGGTATGGCGTCGGCCGGGGGCGGGGCACGAAAAGCTTGTTCTGCGGCCACTTGGCGACCATTGACCATCGACCATCGACCGTCGACCATCGCCGCTGATGGTGTGTATGTGGTGCGGTGCGGTGCGGTGAGGAGTAGGTGAGTGGTGGCGAGGCGATGCCGCGACACGACGCGAAGCGGGGGGCTGTGTCATGTAGAGATTTAGAGGTGGATGGAAGGGAGAGAGAGCTTGGACTTGCGGCGCTGGCTGCCGTGTGTGAATGCAACATCAGACATGCATTGGGGAATGAGGAGAGTGAGGATGGGTGGGAGATGAGAGATGAGCATTCGCAGACTCGCGAGTGCATTGAATGTCATGAGACTTATAGAGTAGTTTGTTCAAGACGAGGTGGGAGGAAATGGGTGGCGATCATCGGGGGGGTGAATAGACGTGTTGATGGACAAGAGGGGTGGTGCCCTGAGAGTGGTGCTGCCCTGCCGCTGCCGCTGCCCTCCACCTGCCCTCCCTCGTACATGGACCCAATCTCTCTCCTCGCCTTCTCTTCTTCCATCCACCATCCACCATCCACCATCCACCACTCTCTACTCGTTACTCTTTACTCGTTGCTCATCGTCATCCCCACTGCTTTCAACACTTACTCTGTAGTAACTGGCTAGCTTAGTTGAGATCATCCACCTCCCCCCCTCTCCCCCCCTCCCCCCTCCCC